TACATGCTTTCAAATTTTGATTGTGAGTTCATATGCCCTGGAAATTTACCAATAGAAATTCTTTGAAGCCTAGAGCTGAATCTCTGTTCTTCCAGAGGGGATTTGCTTTTACTTCTGGCAAGCATCTGGAGACACCCCAGCCCAAGTCCATCACATACATGGCTTGACTTGTGGGTTTTTTGGACCATCCACGTAGTGTGTGCCTTTAAATTACAGAACTGGACCAATCTGTTACAAATTCTCACTGCAGATTTTTTTTCTTCTTTCACTTGTTTATGCAAAGTGGTTATTGAATGATAAAAATCAACACTTGAGATCACCTGGTGTTGGCAAGTACTTTCAAGAGAAAAGCCAACCTCAGTGGTTATATATACTTTCCTGGAGCTCCGCTTTCACTAACTCTTTGGCCTTGCAGGTTTTCTTACATTCTTGCTAGCGCATAGGTTTTTTTTTTTAATATTTAAAAAATAAATATTCTGGGGTGTTTGGGTGGCTCACTTGGTTAAGGATCTGACTCATGATTTCAGCTCAGGTCATGAACTCAAGTTCCTAAGCTCGAGCCCCATGTTGGGCTCCACACTCAGCAGGGAGTCTGCTTGGGATCCTCTCTCTCTCCCTCCCACCCCCCACCTCCTGTGTGTATGCACACGCTAAATAAATAAATAAATAAATAAAAATATTTTATATCATCTGTTTATTTGCTTTCAATAGAAGGATTCATCAAGGTGCCAGAAACTGAAGTCCGTCTGTTCGGGACATAGAACTGTATCATGTGATAGGGATCTTTCTTACTGACAGCTTAGGGATGGTATTTTAGTACGGGGAGGGAGGTAATATAGGAGAGATTCCTATTTTAAGAAGAAAGTTGATATGTAGATAACCTTTGGGGTCTCTTTCATTATAAAAGTATATAGTTCTAGCTAAAGTAATCATTTTTTGTTTCTCTTAGGAATTTACTATTTTGAACAAAACTAATATTATCGAATGACATTTAAATCTGGTTCCCCTAACAGTGGAAGTTGTGAATATCTGTCAATTGTTAGGAAACATTGAATCTGCACTAGAAGTCGTCTTAATCCACACTGCGGTTTTGAAAGCACGTTCTTAATCTGAAATTGTTGAACAAAATTAGATTGGTTCTTTAGCCCTCCCTCCAGTGTAAACACAAATGGAATTATTTGTGGATGATTGGCATTCGTGGAGAGATATTGCACTTTTCATGTAGAAATCCGTTAAGATGCCCCAAGGATTTACATTTTTTCTGTCAAGGATTTACTTTAAAGTTTCCTCTCCTGTTCTCCATCTGTCTAGCTTTGTCTGATCCTTCCAGATCAACTTCGTCATCTTCAATTTCCTTCTCACTGTGACTGTCAGTGACCAGGATGCCAGATGCTCTAAAAACCTGTTTTTGCCTTTATCAGTCTGCTCTAAAGACCTGTTTCTGCCCTTATCAGTCTCTAGATTGCTTAACAAAAAGTATGTTTGAAAAATAGAGCCATCAGCTTTCCATTGCCTAGGTTAAGACTCTTCAATTCAGCTCTAGAATAAATTGTTATATCTGCACAAAAATAACTTCCCATTAAACAAGGCACTTTGCATAGCACCATCTCTAGACTCAAAGGCAAACAGAGGAACCTACAAATTCATTGAACTATGGGCCTGTTTATGTGCATATTATTCATTTTAATTGGGCTAGAGAAATGTCAGATATGGAAATGGCATTTAGTATTCTGATATTATCATACATTAATGCTTTGCAGATTCAAATTTAAGGGACTGCACTTAGCAATGAGAATTGCTACCTATCAATAAAAGAAAGGATTTTGAAAGCCCATGTCTGCTTAGAGCATATCATAACAGATATAGTCAGTTTGTAGAGTGACTTCAAGGTTCTTTCTGTGCACTGTAAGTATTTTCTCTCTATGTGTATGGTTCTCTGAATCACCTGTCTAGTGAAAGAACTTTCCTCTCTCAATGTTATATAAGTGATGGATGGGCCCACTCCACTGATTAGAGTTCCTTCCTAATAAGGCTGCCCTAATCAATGGTTGGGACCAATACATGATTCTCTAGTGAGCCAGGCCGCTTAGATTAAAGTAGTGGTTCTCAAAATTTTCAGTTTCAGGACCCTTTAAGAACTCTTAAAGACTACTGAGGTCTCAGTAGCTTACATATTAATTCATTTACAAAGAACAATAATAAATGCTTTATATATTAACATTAAAGCAATGATATTATCACATGACATGTAACATCTGGAAAACCTCACTGTATAATCATGAGAGAATAAGAATGAAAAAAATGGGGGCACCTGGGTGGCTCAGTTGTTAAGTGTCTGCCTTCGGCTCAGGTCATGATCCCAGGGTCCTGGGATCGAGCCCCACATTGGGCTCTCTGTTCAGCAGGAAGCCTGCTTCTCCCCCTCTCACTCCCCCTGCTTGTGTTCCTTCTCTCACTTTGTCTCTCTCCATCAAATAAATAAACAAAATCTTTAAAAAAAAAAAAAAAAGAAAAAGATTTTGACCCCAAAGACCCCTATGAGGGTCTTGAGGGACCATGTGGCTAAACATTAAATCTAGATAGATAGTAAAAGAGGGAGAAAAAGAGAAAGAGATAGCCAACTAGCCTGGAAACCTTCTTTCCAGATATCAAGATAACTACTGGTTTTCCTGTAAGAAGCGTTCTTAGAAGCGAAGTCAGAGGCCTTGATTTTAAAACAAAGTTGTATGTATGCCAGGTAGGTAAAGAAGCTGGGTGGGAAATACACTTTTCATGGTCTTAGGACCTTGGCCACAAAAGCAGTTCATCAGCAAACCTTCTAAAACTTGGAGACACCATCCAAGCCAGACCAGAGGTGCAGAACAGCACTGAATGAGTATGTGCTTGCCCCCAAAGACTGAGGGAAGTCTGGGGGGTAAGCGAGACACTGATCCCCTGGAGCCTGCCAGCCCACAGCTCTATCTGGTCTAGAGCCACACAGGCAAGTTGTAGGAGGTCAGGATATTCAAGATAATCCTGACATCAAACATAGGGACATAACCTGTGGGGTAGTTCCAACGAACAGGGAATTAATTCTATTTCAAATGTCAATAAATCATGAGCTAGAAGGCTTATGTAATTCTCCGAGATAAGTTAAATGCTCTGAAGATATGCCAGAGACATGTAGGAAATCAGTGTCCAGGAATCTGAGTTGGATGTTAAAACCCAAATCTGAAAGTGAATTATAAGAAAAAGCTATTAAATATATAGCAGACAAAAGTGGCCAAATTAATGGCATAGTTCAGGGTGACACCATCAAAGTAAAGGAGATATAATTAGCTCATTATAATTCTGTTTCCGACAAGTGATTTGGAAATTGAGAGGGAGTGGTCCTTCCTCCACCCTCTTTTTTTATACTCAAGTCATTTTCAGAAACAATTCTCCCTCCCTAGACTACAGGTTGTGAATATCTTGATACGACCAAATGTATTTTTAAAAGGTAATTCCAATTCCCAGAGATTCAGATAAGCTGGAGTGACAGTTTCCACAGTCCCAGGTTTCAAGGCTAGATATGTTGTAATACCAAATGCTTAGTTTTTCTATTTCCTTGATGGCCCACCAGTCCAGGAGATGGAAAGCCATATTCCTTACTGTTTTATGCAGCCATATCCTGCTGGTTGTTCCCCACCTCCGGAGCCATTAAGCAGCAAAAACTCATCATCTGTTAGTAGTGCTGCTGAATTATTCAGGGAAATCCTTAACCAAAATAAATGGTGACTATTCCATCCAATTTTTCCTCCTCCTCACTTTCCCATCTCTTTTCCCCATGGGCAGATCTTCTAGACTTTCAAGCTTATGATTACTGCTAAAACATGCAGGAAAAATTAAGTACCTGAATAGTTGTGTTGCACTTGGGCTTAAAGTCAGTACTTAGTTTGGTACTGGGATACTTCCAGTCAAAAAGGAAATGTGGTGGAAATAGGCATTTGTTTAATAAAGCTCATCTAAGCTCTTTTATGATCATCTAAGAAGTATTAGAAGGACTCCTATTAACAGTAAGGGCGCCTGGGTGGCTCAGATGGTTAAGTGTCTGCCTTCGGCTCGGGTCATGATCCCAGGGTCCTGGGATTGAGCCCCACATCAGGCTCCCTGCTGAGCAGGGAGCCTGCTTCTCCCTCTCCCTCTGCCTGCTCCTTCTGCTTGTGCTCTCTCTCTGTCAAATAAATAAAATCTTAAAAAAAAAAAACGTAAAATTGACCTTTTGTTTGTCCTGAGGCTGATGTTTGTGTTCCGTGTCCATAACAAGCTACCTCCTCCTCTGTGTGGTTTCTCAGTGCTGTTCCTGCATTCACCCAGAAATCTCTCCCTGACTCACTTCAAGGCCTGACAGGTCTGCTGCCTGCTCAACCCTTTTTTTCCCTTCCCTCCTCACATTCAGTTTAAGGAATCTCCTGCTGCCCCATCAGCCACTTCCATCCCTCTCAGATCTATCCTCTGTGAACACCAAAAGAGTAGAAACAAGAAATGGTTAAAAGGGAATTGACCCATGAATGGGGGGCGGGGGGAATAAACTAATAGGCTGTTTGTTGCTTTTCATGATAAATGCTTCCAAACAGTTAAACTTTTTGACCATGTATTTACAATACTTCAGTGAAAGTGAATCATTTCATCATTCTTGATAACTCCAGAGCAGTCTTACAAAGATATTGATATGACCATGTTCTTCCTTTGACGGTGCCTGTTGCCTATATGATACCAGCATAACGACAGTTACATATTCCTATGCACATGCTGATCCCTCTGCCAGGAATGCAGATTCCCTTGGTAAGGATCTTGATCATTGTGTTAGAATCTTCTTCTCTGGACCTGGGTTTTGCATAAGACCCCATGGCTGCCCTGGCTTGGTTTTGACAGGCTGCCGAGTTGTGCTCTGCCCCAGGGTAAGCAGGGATGGGTCTGTCTTTTGTAAACTGAGGTGGGCTTACTAAATCCTTTGGGCTTGCCCTCCCTGTTTCCCACAGCAGTCTGAGCTGTCAGCTGAAGAAAGTCCAGAAAAATTAGGAACCTCCCAACTTCATCGTCGAAAAGTCATCTCCTTGAACAAGCAGATTCTGCAGAAGACCAAACATCTGGAAGAGGTTGGTGTTTTCTTTTTATAATTTCATTCAAGTAATATGAAACTTTTCTTCAAGAAGGGAGAGACTGGGGAAGGAGTGAAGATGTTTATTTTAGAATGGAGGTTCTAGAACAGGGATTAGCACACTATAGCCCTTGGGCCAATCCAGCTGCCACCTGTTTTTGTAAGTAAGGTTTTATTGGAATACATGTACATCTATTTGTTTACATACTTTCTGTGGCTGCTTTCAAGCTCCAGGGGCAGAACTAAGTAGTTGCAGCAGAGACCACATGGCCCAGAAAGCCTAAAATATTGAATACTTGGCCCTTCCCAAATGTGGCTCACAAAGCCTAAAATATTTACCATCTGGCCCAAAATGAGAAAATTTGCCAACCTCGTTCTAGACAATCACAAGACTTAAGAATAGCGTTTATTGATTGACAAATGTTCACTGAGCGCTACTCTGTGCTAGGCATAAAACTAGGCTGTGGAGATGAATGAAGAACTAACTCATTCTTTTCACACAACATCCTTGTGGAGGAGTAGTGTACTACTCTTATCCTCATTTTATGAATAAGGAAACTTAGAAACAGAGAAGTGAAGTAGTTTTGCCTGTGATCACACAGCTTACTAATGGTAAAACCAAAATTTTGAATATAAAGATCTACCTCATTGTTTTGAATTGACTTCATAGTGCAACATATTGTATACATACTGTAATTTACTGTACCCGTCCCCTGTTCATGGGTATGTAGATTGTTTCAGGGTTCCCCCCCCAACTGCAAATTTATGTTACCATGAACATCTTTGTACAGTCATCTTTGTGCAAATATGTAAGTATTTGTGTAAGATTGATTTTATTTTTTTTTTAAAGATTTATTTATTTATTTATTTATTTGAGAGAGAGAATGAGATAGAGAGAGAGCATGAGAGGGGAGAGGGTCAGAGGGAGAAGCAGACTCCCTGCTGAGCAGGGAGCCCGATGTGGGACTCGATCTCGGGACTCCAGGATCATGACCTGAGCCGAAGGCAGTCGCTTAACCAACTGAGCCACCCAGGCGCCCTGTAAGATTGATTTTAGAAAGTGGAATTGCCGGGTCAAAAATACAGGCATTTTCTATTTTGCTCGAAACCATCAAATTATTCACCATTTTACCAGTTTTTATGTCTACCAACAGTATATGAGAGAATCCAAACTCTTTAAATCCAAGAACTCCTGTTCCGAGATCATGCAGGTGGAAAGCGAGCAGGATGCACTCGTGGCCTTGGTGACAACCGTGGGGAGAGTCCTAGCCCAACAGAGAAATGGAAGGAGGGGCAAAGCAAGAGAAGGAGTAAAGAGCATCTCATGGTCCGCAGCTAGTAGGCAGCTGAGCAGAAACCTGAGATTGAGGAAGGAAAGAGGAATCCAGAAAGGGGGTGGTAACCCGCTGCTGAATTTGGGGGTGAGTCTAGGGGTTAATGATGAAGAAGAAAATGAGGGTAGGACAATCATGAAGGATTCCAGCAAGATAAAAAGTAGGCTAAGCTACTGGGGCATCCCCTGTTTGAGAAAAGATGGTCAGATGAGCAGATGAAGAGAGCTCTTATTAGTTAAATTAATCAAAGGGAAGAGATGAGTCTTCCCTTCTTAGCAAGCTACGTCCCTGCCAAGATCCAGCTCGCATGAGTCTTTGTTGTGAAGCCTTCCTTAGATGCCCTGTTGAGCCAGACTCTCCTTGGTCCTCCCCTGGGCCTGGCTCTGCCCCAGCTATTCTCATACTCTGATCCCCAGCTCACTGGGTCAAGATCCTTGCGGGCAAGGACTGTGTCATGTTTGTCACCTCCTCCCACACACCTCATGTGAGCAGAGCACTGGGTAAATGTCAGAGCGGTGGCGGGGTAGGTGCGCGGGTGAGAGGTGGACAGGAAGGTGCGGAATGCTAGGACCCCTTCCTAGAGCCACAAAAGGGCTTCAAGAAAGAGTTCAGTCACTAGTATTTCAAGAGAAAAACAAACTCTCCAGAAATGCTCTCTGCTGGTTACACAACATGTCAATGAAAGTTGTCATTGCACAGATGGCTTCCTTTAAAAAGGGAAAAGCCAGGGCCACCTGCTTCCCTCCTTTATCACTCTTGCTCTGTGCTTGAGTCGGCTACTTGATAGGCCTTGTTGGAAAGGTAACCATTCATCAGACTAGAAGCGTGATTTAGGAGTAGTGATTTCTGAAGGCGACATAATTCTTAATGGGTTGCTTACATGTTCAAGGATGGGGCAAGTTATTTTGAAGCAGTCATTGAGATACAGGATAAAATTTCTCATTGCTAATTTGTATGCGGGTAACCACCAGAGTCTGATGTCATTTTCTGCCACTTTCCCTTTTCAAAAGTGGAATTGTACAAACCCTCTGAGCTTTCGATGAATGTTTTCAGATTTCTAAAAGTTCACAGACAGCACGAGGATATATCTGTTAGGAAGGAAAAGAGAAATGACATTTTCCTGATGTAAGTTTACAGTCATGTAACTTTGAACAGGAAAGGTATTTCATTTTCTGTCTCTTCGTGTTGAAGTCCTGAATTTGTTCTTCTATCTCAGATTGTTTGCCCGTCAGTCATTCTGTGCTAGAATCCTGAGTTGTGAAATGCAGTTTGTATTCTGGGAATGGGCATAGTGGTTAAGTGAACTGATTGTAGCCATACAGAAAAGTCAGACCTGGATTTGAATCCTGGCTTTATCAGTTAGCAGCCGTGAAACTTTTGTCCAGTAACTTAACCCCTCTGAGTCTTTATTTCCTCATCTGTAGAATAAGAAAAATGTCTTCTTCCATTGATTGTGTAGATTCAATGATAGGATTTATGTAGAATATCTAGTTTGTCACCTGATGTGTGGTTGGTGCTAATTATATGAATTTTTTCTTCATTTGTTGTTGGCAACCATTCTGAAATTCCCACACTCACTCAGTTTAAACTGTTGAATTTCCATTTTCCCATCTGTGAGACGGGGATCCCACCCACAGCTGTGCTGTTGTGAGGACTGAATGAGAGCAGATATCTTTTCTCTTTCTTTCACAGCTGCAGGCAAGTCATACCAGCCTACAAGCCAGATACGATGAAACAAAGCAAACTCTGACAGAGGTGAGGAGATTTTCAGAACCGCTTTTGACCTGCACCACTAATGGAATGCCCTCTATCGTCAGTCTGTGTGGGGTTTCAGGGCTCGGGGCCATCTGGGGACAGAGGACAAGCACATGGTAGTGCATGACCCCTGCCCTCAGGTTACCCGTGCTCCCACGTTCTAAAGCCTCAGCCATCTTGGCAGGAGACATTGCCATGGGCCCTGAGGATCGGGAAGGGCTTCCTGTGGAAGGCCAGGCTGATGGGCAGGGCACGGGCCTCACAGAACTTGAAGGGCCCCTCACGGTGAGTGGGCCCCACTCCGCTACAACCTCCACAAGCTGCAGGCCTTAGAATAGCTTCGAAATCCTGAATTCTTAAAGACTGAGAGGGTTTCTTTTGATACGATGAGAGAACTGCAGAGGGCTGTGATTTGTTGTTCGGAATTGCCGGCTTACTTCTAGGCGGGATGGGGGACAGGGTCTCAGGAGGAGGAGGGCGATGGGTATATTTCAAACCACGTGATCTGGGTTTCGAGTGTGCCACCTCCCATCAGCCGGAGTGTTGTTTACCTCCCACTTCTCATTGCCTAGGCAACCAGGCCAGGAAAACAAACGCTTCTGATGCCGGCTCTGTCATGAGGGGTTTCGATATCTGTGTCCCTCACGTTTCCATAGAAAGCTGCCCTCATCTGGATGTGCTGGTCCCTCCTGGTGATTTTGACCGTGCTCGAGCTCTAGCTGTATTCTGCAAGGGCCGTACGCAGGGCCCGCCCAGTACTTCCCGAACTGTGTGGAAGCCGGACTGATCCTCAGAGACCTCTCTGAGACTAAGGCAACCACCCCCCTTCTTTAAATTTCACGTGAAATTTGCCCACTTCAAATTCTTGTTTCTGTAGCCATATGTGGCACCGCCTTGCTGTCCTGCTGACAAAACTTTGTAATTCTGACCTGGGCTCATCTCTTCAGTGATTGTCGGAATGTTTGAAAAGGGCAGGCAAAAGAATGAGAGTTAGAGTGAATTTTTTTTCATTATTTCCAAAGATGCCTGTGTTGCATTTGGACAGATGAGCTCTCTTTACACTGCTCGGTGACTGCATTCCTATGGGTTGGATGGCCCACTCCTGGGGTGGAACCCTGCCGCTATCTAAACGTTAATGCCACAGAGTCCTTGGCGTGAAGTTTGCCAAGTCATAGATCAGTTTTTGTATAACCATCTGGGCGAGATTAAAGGCAAAGCGTCTTGATACCAATTTCCTAAGACACTTACGTGCCTTAGGATATAAATCCTAAGTGGCTCTGAAGTCATTTTCTTTGTCCTAAGTCGGGTATTTGTTGAGCTCCTTTCATGTGCTAGAAGGGTAGGGAGTGTGATTTAAGTCAATAATAGGAGATGGTGTTCTTATCCTCAGATAATCATAGCAGCCAGCATCAGTGTGTGCTGGGTGTGCCCTGGGCACCTCCCTTCTACCAGTCCCCGACTCTCCGTGACCACACTAGCAACGCTGTTACCATCCCTGTTCTGCAGATGGGTTACTGAAGCCGTGCAGAGGCTTCCAGAACTCCAGCACTGTGTGTGTGGCCCCAAAGACCTCTCCGAGGGCTCACTCTGTATAGTAGGGCAGTCACACTAAGTCCCATCTATAGGAAAATGGGATCTGTACCAAACCTGGCACTCAGCAGCTTCCGAAGAAGCCTGACTGGTCAGAATACTGAAGACCAGACCCCTGAATAAGTAATGAACTTCACCTTTGGGTCTCAGCCTCCTTATCCGTTCCATTCAAGGATTGGCCGACACGAGCACTCTGACCCCTTTCCCCCCCATGGGCCCTGGTTTCACCTTCTCAGTGACTCCTGCCCTCCCACGGTAACCTGGCGGCCTCAAAAAACAGGGAAGACCTGTCTTTCTGGCAGATTGGGTAAAGTCGAGCAGGGCAGGGAAGGTCAAGGACAGATGGCAGCACGTGACGCCCACAGAGAGGCTGCGCGCCCCTGCAGAGGTGGGCCGCCCGCAGCGAGCCTGTCCACTTTTTGGTTTCGGCAATCCCGACTTTAATTTCCTGTGTGTGAGGTTGGTTCTTTGTAGTATATGCAGTATTCTCTCCCATTTCTCTCAGGGCATTAATGGTGTCTAAGGTTTTTCTTGATCTATAAACTGTCTTCTGATCAAAATTCATTTGTTCTGTTTTACCTTTCTCATTTTGTGGTCTTACCTTCCTTCACGTGTCTGATAGTCCTTGGTGGTGTGCTTATCCTTGATTCTGAAACTCCCCGTTACCAGCTGCGTGGGTTCTGTCCCCATGGCCTCCAGCCTGCTTCGGGTGATTATTCTGGAAGGGTGGCTTCTACTGTTGGGTGAGATCAGCCAGTAGTAAGTGGTATTTGGGGCCTGGGCACTCCGCCTTTCACCCGGGTCTGGCCGATTCTGGGAGCCTGCCTGCCTGCCTCTGGGGCTTGAGCTCCAGCTCGAGGGTAGGGGAGCCAGGCTTCACTGCTTAGCCCAGCTGGCTCTCCCACTGTGACGCCAGCCCCGCAGACCGTCCTTCCTGTGTCTGCTGATCCCGCACCGCAGGCCTCCTCAGCCCTGCCTCTCTGTTGGCCATCTTCTTGGCCCCGAGGTACCCGCTCCTGTAGTTGACCCTAATTGTCTGGGTTTTTTAGGACTTGAGGCAAGAAGGGCTGATTGCAACTTGTGCTCTTCTGTTTTCAGCTAGCACCCTTGGAACCTTTTTTAACTTGTTTCTTGTTTTTTGGGGTTTTGTTTGAGTAGGTAACACAATTCACATAGTTCAAAATTCAGAAAGTGCAAAGGTTGTACCGCTGTAGCCCAACCATATAGTTACCTGAGAGTAACTGGTCTCTTACGAATCTTTTCAGAAATATTTCATGCACATACAGGTAACATGTATATCCTTTTATACATGTATACATTCAGGGTATACATTCCCTTATACACACTGGAAAGACATGGCATTGATGTTTTGTACATTGTTTTCTTCCAGCTAACAGTAGATCCTAGAGATAAATCACCATAAAAGAGCTGCTTTATTCTTACTTTTTTTTTTTAGCGGCTTAACATTCTGTGATACAACTGTACACCTTATAAATGGAAACCCGAGTTTCTTTAAAATTTCTATTTTTAAATCCTCACTGTCTGACTCAGAAGAAGAAAGTGAAGCTATTCAAGAAGATGGATTTAACCTAGCCCTGCTCAGAGCCATGACCGTGGTAGTGTGGCATTTCAACCAGGTCTGTCTCTCGTAGCCTCTTCTTACTTCCCCCTTCCCGCTGACCTGCCGAAAGGCACCTGCTGTCGGCACTACTTTTGGCTTTCCAGCCATCTGCTGCTGTGACTTAGAGCTATTGCCAAGGTTTCTTGTACCAAAAGGGTCCGGTGTTGACCTTTCCGTGCCGTCCTCCCCCACCCCATCCTGTTTCTCTCGTCCACCTGTTTTCTCCAGCGTACAGCCAGGTCCGGTGGGCTGGGCCAGCGGCCAGACGTGGGGTGCAGATGTGAGCCTGGGGAGGGAGGATGCACTCACTCTGCTGTCCTCCCCAGTCCCGAGCGGCAGCACCTTCTTTCTCTCTCGCAGCTGAAGCATCACAGTGAGAAGCTGGACAAAGAGCAAGCGGCCCTGGAGAAGATAGAATCCAAAGCGGATCCCAGGTGAGAGGTTTCAGCCTATGTGTATTTTCTCCTTGAAGAAAGTTAAGTCTGCCAGTGCCTGGTGGTTTATTTTGTTTGAGCACAGGACCAAGGAGCCCAGGGTCATTGCCTCCAGCCCCACACAGGTCATTTCCTTCCACATGCCCTATCCAGAATGTGGCGACTCCCCGTTGCTCGGGCACATGCTGACCTATGGTGCCGCCGCACAGAGCCGGCCACCTCGTTCTCCTGATTCCCCTTGGGAGGAGAAGCAGCATATTTTTACTTTTGCTTTTTTTGGTTTTTCTGTTTTTGAGAACCAAATAATACATTCGCAGAACAAAAAGGCATGTGGTGAAAGTCTTCCTCCCTGCCCCCACCCCCATGTGCCCCAGCCACCCAGTCCTCCTTGGCGTCAACCCTGGCTACCAGATTTCTTACTGTTAACATTTCAGCCCCGCCTCCTTGGGATTAAAGGTGCTTAAATTAAAGATTAAAGGTGCAGTATTTTATTTTATTTTTTTTTTATTAACTAAGAAACAGCTGCTGGGCTTTTTTTTTCTTCATTTTAAATTGTCTTTAACAATGTAAGTTACATGTGAGATTCACTTACATTTGACCTTTTTAGCACCAAATCGGTGAGGTGGTCAAAGCTCCCTGGATGTCACTCATTTGAATGATAAAAAGCCTCAGGCACGGATTGAGCAGCCCCAGATTTGAAGTACATTTTTTTTTTAAAGATTTTATTTATTTATTTGACAGAGAGACACAGCAAGAGAGAGAACACAAGCAGGGGGAGTGGGAGAGGGAGAAGCAGGCTTCCTGCCGAGCAGGGAGCCCGACGTGGGGCTCAATCCCAGGACCCTGGGATCATGACCTGAGCCAAAGGCAGACACGTAATGACTGAGCCACCCAGGCGCCCCTGAAGGACATTTTTAGCAAAGAAGTACCCACAGATTACTTGGCTTGATAATTAGAAACCCTTCTTTCATGATATGGAGCAAAGTCCTGTCAGATACTTGACGTTTTTATTTTCCAGTTAATTCTTTTAATGACCCTAAGCAATTTGTTTCCTTTTCATGGAAATTAGAGACGGTTTATGATGCTGTCTATGCTCTGAGGACTGTTGAGTAATTGGTACCAAGGATCCAGGACTCTTGAAACTCATTGATGTTTCTGCAGTTGACATTTTAATTCTGGGTTCTGTGATGTTTGTTTGGATGGGGCCTGATGGGCTTGGGTATATAAATGAGTAATAATGTCAGTTAAATAGTAGTCATTATCACTTGTGGAGAACCCATTAGACAGTCTTGGGAGAGACAAAGGAAAATAAAAAGGGAGTCCCTCTTTAGCTGGGGGCTTGGTTTTAGTTGTGATTCAGAAAATCATAACAGCTTTCCATATGTCATTGTTTGGTCTTCTCTCTTCAGTATCCTGCAGAACTTGAGAGCACTTGTAGCCATGAATGAAAATCTGAAAAGTCAGGAACAAGAGTTTAAAGCACATTGTCGAGTAAGTGTTGCTTGATGTCAGCAGACCTTGAACCAGGACTCTTGTGAAATCTCTCACCTTACTTCCCCTTATCCCGTTGTGGCGTCCTACTCGGGTGCCATCGGAAAAGTAGAATCCTGGAGCAGTTCTGTCAGTTGTGTAAGATGAATAGGGTGCTACAGTGGGTGCCCCCCAGGGGTGCCGGAAGGGAGTGAGATTAGTAACTGGGTGTGCCAAACCCCAAATTGAGAGCACAGTCTAACAAACACTAATTTACAAACATATATGTATGTATATATTTAAAAGTCTTAGAAAGTGTGAAAGAATAACATCATGTGAACCCAGGGCTGTCCTGTAAAAGTAGGTTGCCTGTGTGTCGTGTGGTAAGCCCTCGTTCCAGGCAGTCCAGCAGAGGGGCGGTGCGTGCACAAGTCCATTTCCTAGCTTGTCTGAGTTTTGTAAATGTTTGTTTCACTTTTAAAGGAGGAGATGACACGGCTGCAGCAGGAAATTGAAAACCTGAAAGCCGAGAGAGCACCAGGCGGAGAGGAGAAGGTAAATACAGGCTCCAAAGGACCTGTTAGGTGCTGTTGTGACTTCTCAGTGGAAGGATTTCTGGGGGACTGCAGCAGAGAGTCTGACGCTAAGAAGGACCGGCCAGTTCCCATAACCTGGTCCTCTGAACACACACTTCCCAACTCTTTTCAGCACAGGATTTTCTTAGATTTCCATGCCTCCCCTTTTTCTTCTGCTGGTGGATAAAAGGCAGCAGTGGGTGTGCACCAAGCAGCCACCCCAGATGGCAATAACCAAATGACAAGTCTGGCCTCTCTCTCCATTTAGGGAAGGGGCATTTCTAGGAATTCTGAGCTCTGTTTCCCAGGGAACCTGTTCTCTAAGTGTTGTACGGCTTTATTGGTCCCATCCTCCACTCCTGCCTAGGGACAGGCCCCACCCCTAAAAGGCAGGGGGAAGCAGAAAACAAGAGGTAGCATCAGAGCCCCAGTGCACTGAACATTGCTGGACGTACGGAACACGTCCGACCAGCTGCTCTCAGGACAGAGGACTTGCTCCTCCGAGGAGCTAGTGTGAGCTTCCATTAAAAGTTAAGTTAAAACACAGGCCGGAAAGAAAAGTGTTTCTCTCACCAAATGAGATTGTAGGGATTGCTGTTTGTGTTTCCCCCTCTCACACTTCGTTCCAAGCTCATTCCCTGAGACCCCCTGTGCTTAGATTGCGCGAGCTAGACATGGTCTCAGAGTCCGTTGACTGCTCCCTCCCTTGAGAACCGGCTGGGGCAGCTCAGGGCTCAGGGAGGGGAAGAGGCGGTTCCAAGCCAACCAGCACCTGTCCACGTGCCCTCCGCTCAGGGACCGGGCCCCTGGCTGTGTAGCACGTCGGTCTTGAAGGTGCCTCCGTGCTGGTGGCACGGGACTGGCACGGAGGAGCAGCAGAGTCTGGCCTCCCAGTGCAGTGGTGTCCTGGGACCGTCATCACACAGCTGGTCTTTCCGGTTGTTTCTAGAACCGAACCTTTCGGGCTCAGTTCGTCAGCCCAGTCAGCCTCTGAGTTTCTACAAATTAGACTTTCAGGATCCTGTTTCTCTTCTTAGCAATCACATCTTGTTAGAGGGATTATTACGTTCAAAGACAGTTGCCATTTGGCTTGTTTGGGTGTGACACCCATTTAAGAATTTAAAATCTGGGGCCCAAGGACACGGTCCCCCTTCCCCCCCCCCCCCCCTTCCTACAATGCAGACCCACAGCTTCTGTCCCATTCCCCTTACTCGGGAATGTGTGCATTCCTTTTCATCGTTTCAGAGCCTATCTGCTGGAGAGCCACATGGTGCCCTAACCCCTGGGATGACTCATAATGTAAGTACCCACCCATTCTCAGCACTGTCATTGTCCTCCACGGGAGTGGTGGCCAGCCTTGTACCCTCCCCTGACAGTTTCTCAGGCCTACTGAAGTTTTCTCTATGACCACCACTTCCTGGGCGGGCTCTCTGGGGCATTGCCCCATTGTACACACACAGCCCCTCAGATGGAAGCAGAGTCTCCACAGGGATGGTCCTGAAGACCGCCATTCTGGTGGGTTTTCTCCTTGCACTTTGTGCAGGCATTCTGTGTCTGCTCGGGCATCTCAGCTGAGAAGGGGAGAAGCATGCCTTCGCCACACAGGCTGGTCACAGTGCGTAGGCTCTGAGGGGTGGGGTGCTGCAGGGGGGAAAACTCTCTACTGTACTAATTCCAAGGTCAGCAAACTGTAAAGGGCCAGATAGGAAATAGGTTCAGCGTGGTGTGCCAGCCCTGCTATAGCAGCCATAGTCAGTCTGGAAATGAAAGAACATGGCTGTGCTCCTATAAAGCTATTCACAAAAAGAAGCAGTGACGTGAATTTGGCCCAAGGGTTGTATGGTTTAACTCATGGGCAGTAGTTTGCTGACCCCTGTTCTGAGTTAAACCAGTGCTCCCCACCGTCCAAAACAAACATCCAGGAGAAAGAAAAAAAGAAAAAAGAGGAAGAAGAGCAAAGCAGGAAAACTCTAAACACTTGCCTCCTTTAATGTTTGCCTCTTCCCTTTGTGCCCTCAGACTAGAGAATGAGCGTCAGGAGTCCTGTAGTACAGTCGTGTGGGGTTTGCGTGCAGCTGAGCCCTGTGGAAGAGTCTGAGTGTGGGGGTGTGTGCGCACGTGTACACACATGTGCTGGGGGAGAGGACACCTCTGACCCCTTTCATAGCTTTCTTTGATGTAGCAAACCATCTAACCATGTCTTACCTCACTGGGCTCAGTGAGAGCTAGCTCCTCTCTTGTACTTCAGTGCTGTCCAAAAGAACTTTCTGCAGTGATGGCAGTGTTCTGTGGCTACACTGTTCAGTATGATAGCCACTAGCTCCTTGTGGCTACTGAGCACTTGGTGTGTGGCTATTGCAATTGAGAAACTGAACATTCTTAAATTTCAGTAAATGTAAATTTAAATAGCTACACACAGCTAGTGGCTATCATGTTGGACAGTGTAGCTCTAAGTAGAAACATAGAAAGCAAACCAGTGTCACTATAAACACAGGGACTTAGAACAACAGATTCTTTAAGTAGTAATTATCTCCTTATCATCATAGTTTTGGGGCGGCACATAAGTTTGGGGGATACTTCACATAAGACCCAGGCCTTAAACTCAGCCATTTGAGAAAAGAAAATTGGAGCCTCAGAATGGAAAGATATGATAAAAATATTCAGTTCCAAAAGACTTTATCGAAGAATGAAAGTTTCCTGCTCTTAGATAATTGTGTCCTTTTCCAATTTTTAGGAAGACCTAGACAGACGGTATAACATGGAGAAAGAGAAACTTTACAAGATCCGTTTACTACAGGTAAGTGAAAGCAAGAACAAAAAAACACATAAATACACTTATCTGGGTATCCTGTAGAGAACTAGGAAGTCTCGGTATCTAAGAACGACAGGTACGGAGGCTGCTGTTTTCCATTGTTCTGTCTGGAGTTGAACTGTGGGGTTTAAGATGTTGACAGTAGCACCTCACATTGGTACGTTACTTTCACGGTCATCTCGATGGATTTGATAGAGATCTCTGGGTGGAGAGTCAGTATTAGCTTCATTTTCTGTATGAAGTAATTGACTCAAATCAGTTAAGTACTTGTCCAAAGTCAAGCAGCTAGTAAGTGCCAAAGCCAGCCTTCAAGTTCCAGAGCTCTTGTCTAGTACTTTTCCTCTAAAATCACGTGCCCATTTTAGTGGTCTTATTTGATAACCTTGGAGGTTTGTAAGAAAGCCATCAAATATGGTTGGTTCCAAAGCTGAAGTCACACAGAGTCAAAATTTCTTTGCAAAATCCCTGGCATTGCCAGAATCTGGCTCATGGAAGCTCGGAAGCCCAGAGTTAGCTCATGTTGTCCTTTGGCTTGGGCCTTCTCCCTGTTCTCCGGGAAGAGAAAGCCAGGCTCCAACGGGAATGGCCAAAGGGCTGCAGGGGCTAGTGAGTCCCTGTCTCGCCTATCTTTAGCTCTTGCTTACTTTGCTGAGCTGTTTGGTTAAATTCGGGTGCATCAGATTTGTCCTTGATACAGGGACACTGCTAATCTTTAAAGAAACAGAATTAAATGAAACCAGGAAAATATACAGCTGCATGCTTGAAGACTTTGTGACTGTGTGCTTACTCTATGTATATTCAGTGTTGTGTTAGGCACCAGGAATAGTAAATGGGATGGCCCATCTTCTGGGAGCTGGCTGGCTATTTGAGAACCAAGATATGTCCCTATACATCAAAGTACAAGGGAGTTGATATGCATATTGCCAATCCTGGGCAGCTTCAGACTCCCTAGAGGGAAGCTACAGTAAAACCATAAGCCTGCTGGGGTCCGGAGCCCGAGCGGGGGCCGTGGGGCTGGGCGGACATGAACTGGCATGGGAGAGATTGAGAAGCCATATCTGATGGAACTTAGCATCAGTTGAGTCAAAGAAACAGAGGAGTCAAGGATGGTGCTTGAATTTCTGACTCGGGTGGGTACCTGTATTCATTGAGAAAAAGCATTAAAAAATAGGGTTCAAGGGGGTGTGTGTGAATAGGAGTGTTACTGAGATCTGTTTGCAGCTCTTGAAAGTTAGGACACTCAACCAAGTAGACGTGTCCAAGAAGTGATTGGGTGTCAGGTCTGATGCTCAGGGTAGTCTGGGCTGGCCATTAGGTGGCGGCACTATGTTGGTGGTAACCAGAGCTGTGACAGTGGGGTGAAACCTGTGTAAGGACAGGCAGTGGAAAAGGAGGAACCCCCCCCCAGTGAGGTAGCTGGAGGGATGGGGAAGCCAGGGTCTTGTGGAGGCTGAGCAGAGGGCTCAGCAGAGAGAATGGTAAATTTTACTAGAAATCAAGGAAGCTGGAAGCTGACAATTACCCATGAACTGTCTCCCAGAGAAGGTCTGTGGTGACTTAGTGAGAGCAGTGTGGCCGGTGTTGGGAGAAGCCAGCTGCCAGTGGGGAGACGATGACTGCGGGCGTGGGGGCGGCTACAGGCCCTGGGGGTGCTGGCCGTCAGGAAGTTGGGCTGCTGCCGCCGAAGAAAGAGCCTGCTGGCTGAAAGGTGATCGGGGCTTAGTGAAGGGCTTTAGAGGGGTGAGGGACCTTAGCCTATCTAAATGCTGGTGAGAAGGGGGAGCCAGTAGAAAGGAGGTGTGGGAGCCCGTCCACACTGCACTGCTCTGCCTCCCCAGTGCCGTCAGTGGCCAGTTTGGCTCCTGTACCCCCAGTCCGTGGTAGGGCGAAAGTGCGAGAAAGATACTATAGGAGTAAATTGTAGGAGCTTTTCAATAGGCTAAGGAATTTGGAATTTATATGGAGGCAGCAGGGGGGCATCCTTTCTTCGTCATCTGGGAGGCCTTCCTTTTCATTCCCACTCCCCACTTGGTGATGGTGGAATCAGCTACTCTTGAGTGCTTTGGGGCCTAGAGGGATGGCCGAGGGCTGTCCACAAAAGCCCTTCCCATGTAGGATCTTCCATCCCTAGCCATTCATTTGCTGCCTTCTCTGGTTCTAGTTCATAGCCACACACACACCTTCTCCATGTGTCATGAAGTGGGAGGAGGGTCCATCAGAATCTGAGATGGGGACCTCAAGCCAATAGCGGATTTTTGGATGGGGTGTGTGGTTACGCTCAGAAGGAGGTGGGGGCAGTATTTTGGCTCCCCAGAGAACATGTAAGACCTTTTACCAAATAGTGTTGTCTCCCCCTTCCTTTTGCATTTAGGCTCGAAGAAATCGAGAAATAGCAATTTTGCATCGCAAGATTGATGAAGTACCCAGCCGAGCTGAGCTAATACAGTATCAGAAGAGATTTATTGAACTCTACCGCCAGAGTACGTGCATCAACCACAAACACTCTCAGGACTGGTCCTGGGAGGCACGGGAGGCGAGGGTTCTGTCCCACATGAGCGTGGTAGGGTGTGCATCATAGCATAGTTAGTGAAAGCCACCACCAGAAGGGGCTCCCTGTCATCATCAGGCCCCCCCTGCCCTCATTCCGCATAACCCACTGCTAAGTGACCCTTAACCCCAGGAGCAGCATTAGGGTGCCCTGCCACCCTCTCTGTGGACAGACTGAGCTAATTGAGCTCTTAGCATGACGTTTCGAACCTGCCTTCTTCCTGGTCAGCCAGTGGGCTCCAGTGAGCTCCCCATCCGCTTTCCAGCCTCCCACGGGACATGAGCACTCCATGATAGAGCCTCTCTGGATCAGTCCTCATTCATTGTTTTTCTGGATGAACTTTCTTGCCCTTGTGATCCTTGACTTTGACAGCACTATATTCACCCAGTAATCCAGGACTGGTCTCTCTCAGCTGGAATCAGTGAGCTGGCCTTGTCAGGTTCAGAGTGACCCTCAAAGTGTCACTGCCTATCTGTTCCCACTGCCACCCTGATAGCTGTTCTTAACTCGGGTCAGAGCTCAGCTGCACGCATGCTAGCTGGTCTGTATACCCACACCTATCATGTCCCCCCTCTGTCTGCTGTCCAGTGAGCTCCCTGGGCCTCCTGAAGAAAATGTCTCTCCTTATTATCTCCAGAACCTCCCCAGTCTAAGCGGCCTGCCTGGAGGCCCCCTTTCCTTCTCTGAGCCCACATTCTGGCTTCCCCGGTCCACACACCGCCCCTCAATACACCATGCACTTTGACACACAGCTTAGGCTTCGACTCCTCTCGGTACCTGTGCCTAGAACCCCTTCTCAACTCTGTCAGACCCAACAGATACAAAACTGAATTCAGCCTCCCCACCCTATTTCTCCTCCTGGTCACGGGGATCACTGTCTAGCACCCCCAGCCTCTCGAACATCCTTCCTGGTTCAGGCCAGAGCACTGTCCTTACTAGGGTCAGAGTCATGCTTCCTTTCACTCCTGCCCCCATCCTGATGTTAGACACGGCCCTCGAGCCTGATTCCAATGGTCAGAGGCAAGAATCGACAGTGACAGCTTCTCAGCAGAAAATAGTTTCTGCCTTTTTTTTTTTTAAGATTTTATTTATTCATTTGAGACACAGAGATACAGAGAGAAAGCACGAGCAGGGAGAGAGGCAGAGGGAGAAGCAGGCTCCTCACCGAGCCAGGAGCCCGATGTGGGGCTCGATCCCAGGACCCTGGGATCACGACCTGAGCCGAAGGCAGACGCTTAACCATCTGAGCCACCCAGGCGCCCCTAGTTTCTGCCTTAAGTTTAATCTTTAAACCTTTTCTCGTAATTCTGTATCCCTGCCTACTTTCCAGCTTTTAACAGTAATAATAACAATACCTTGCATCTGGATATTTCAGAGTAAAATCTGACACATGTTTAAGTCCTTTTGATAGGATATTTTTACACCAAATAAATTTTCAAGCAGTTACACCAGAATATCTGTATCATTTTCATTATTATTATTATTGTTGTCAGATCTCTACAGCCCCCACCCTGTCCTTAATCTGGATAGAGGAGGGGTGACAGGCACATTCCTGAACAACAAAGCTAAAGGTTGATTGGTTTATTTATGGCAGTGATTTTCAGCCTTGGCTACACATTGTAATCACCTGATCCTGCCTCCATAAAATCTCATTTAATTGCTCATGAGATTTTAAAAGCTCCCCAGGCTGTTCTGTGTTTCAGCCAGGCTTGAAATCCACTGTTCTAAAGCTCTGAACAAGAATAGTAATTTAGGCGCCTGGGTGGCTCAGTCATTAAGCGTCTGCCTTCAGCTCAGGTCATGATCTCAGGGTCCTGGGATCGAGCCCCGCATCAGGCTCCCTGCTCAGCAGGAAGCCTGCTTCTCCCTCTCCCACTCTCCCTGCTTGTGTTCCCTCTGTCGCTGTGTCTCTGTCAAATAAATAAATAAAATCTTTAAAAAGAAAAAGAATAACATTTTATACTGAGTAGTTCATGTGGTGATTTTCATACAAATTAGTTTGATATTGGGAACATTTTTAACTGTTGCCTCAAAATACCTGTATCGGGTTATTAACCGCTGTTACCAAATATGTACAGCAGTATCTCCAGCCCCCACTCATCTTTGAGCTGCACCGCTGTGGGGAGGCACAGCTATCACTGGGTAATAAGATTAAAAGTTGGCTGATTGGCTTAAAGATTTGGGTTTAAATGTTAGTGGCAGTTGCCCAAGGAAACCATCAGTGCCCACGGCCCACTCTGCCTATCTCTCTTCCCCAACTCATGCTGCTCCAGAGGGACCTGCGTTCAACGAGCAAGAGCCACTGGGAAAGCAGACCCCACTGCCGTCCGGCCAGTGCTTGATAACTGTTAGACATCAGGATCTTTGGTTACAGCTACATTGGAGGGCTCAGCGTAGCCCCAAAGCCTGACTGTGAATCCAGGTCTTGGGATTTTATCCCCCGCTCTATGCTGAGAGAACTCAGAGCCATGAGGAAGGCACATAGGCTCAGAGCCACGTGGGGGCCACCCAAGCACCCAGCCACAAAGCAGGAAGACGAGTGGGGCAGGAAACCTTCCCCCCTTGACTTCGTCCTCTGGTGAATACGGCCCAGTCCCAGTCCTAGATTTTGGTGCTTTCCTCCTATGTCATTCTCTAGGGAAGAGTGAAAAACAAGAGGTGGACAGAGATGCAGAGTAATTTTATGGGAAAGGATGTTGGGAGCCTGGTAAATAAGATCTCCCACCTTAGTCATATGCACAGAAATGGGAAGAAAATTCATACTCCTTAGGCACATATTCTGCCCTAGGTTAGGCACGACATTCATCTAGTAGATATTTTGGAGGGCCTGCTATATAGGCCTGTGCTAAGCATAGGGATTCCAAAAGGAAGCAGACTGTGGCTCCTGCTCAGGAGCAGTGTGGGAAGGGAGGACACCACCTAAGTAGGAGGAGGTGGCATGGTGGCTTCCTCATCCTTGCCACCTTCCCCCCAGGGTGCCTCACCTGAGAAACCCACCCGTCCCACATGCTGCCAGGTTCCTCGTCCCGGCTGGGCCAGTCACAGCAGGCCGGCTCCTGCCAGCCCGCAGCAACTCTGCACAGGCTTGTGTGCACGGTGGGGCTTCCACACAGACGCCTTGACATGCCGGGCTCCTGTGGGTGGGCCTCCTGGGGCAGGGGGTGCTTAGGATTGTTCTGATGCATTTTCTTATTCGTGTGTTGATTTCTTTACTTTTACAGTTTCTGCAGTGCACAAAGAAACCAAGCAGTTCTTCACTTTATATAATACCCTGGATGATAAAAAGGTTTATTTGGAAAAAGAGGTAAGAACTTGTATGAAAAGAAAATAACATAATCAGAAGAGCAGAGACCAGGGCTGTTAACCCCAGGAAGCTCTGTTGACCCCAGGAAGCTCAGACGAACTGAGTGTCGGTGTAAGTGGAAGGAGCGCCTGGTGTGTGCCCCATGCTGGGTCACAAAGTTAGAGAGTAAGAGACGCTTCAGAGCTAATGTTGCACAGGTGCATGGGCTGACGTGGGACTGGTGGACCGTGGTTTCGTAGTGCCTTGTGAGAAATGATGTCTAGAGAGACTCAGAAGGCACACGTGGAGGGGGCCTGGGTTGGGAAAACTTTAGTTTGAGTTTTAAAGGAATAGCTAAATAAAATGGGGATGGTGGGCTCGTTTGAGTTGACATGCGGAAACTAGCTAATCATCAGTGGCCGCCAGGAGTGGAAAGGGGTGCCCCGGGCACTGACACCCCCTCCGCATTACTCTTGACACTCAGCTTAAATCCACTCATGATTCAGGGCTCCCTCACATCAGGTGACAGATGATTGGAGCATGGTGGCAGGGTGTGCGGCTGTGTTTTAAGGAAGAAGAAAAGGAAGAGTGTGGTCTTCATAGTAGCAACACAGTGGGATGGAAAGAGCATGCGCTTTTGAGTTGGACAGATTGGGGTTTTGTTCTGTAAAGAGGGCATTACACCCGCTTTGCTTGACTGTGATGGAGACAGAATAGGAAATGATGGTGCAGGTCCTTGTATCTGGTGGCTCCGGACACATACTAGTTCTGCCTACGCCCTCACCTCGAGGTCAACAGAATTTGTGTCCATTTCGTCATCACCTTGCCACCTGTACTGATTGCCCACTTAATAAGAATGATATCGCAGGTGCGTCTTTCACGTGACCCCCCCCAAATGGAGGCATGTTTAATTAGTGTCAGCTTTCTTGGCTATTGTCAATCAAACCAGCTCAGTGTCTCTCCCTAGAGGACACTTCTTGAGAAGGGGCATTGAGTTCTGTTTTTCTCTATATCCGGGGTCTTCCACAGTGACAGGCACATGAGAGGCATTTGATAAATATTTGAGTATGAGTTGAGTGCATTTGGTAGGATTTACGTCAGACCTGGGGGCTAGCTCTGCCACACACTGTGGCCTTGGGGTCTTTCTGCCTAGTGAGGGGAAGACTTACCAACCCTAACTTAGGGATAGGCCAGCCCTTCTGAGAAAGCCCATCACCTTCCTTCATCAGTAGTGTTTAAAGTTATTGCATTCTTTTAAAAACTAGGAGTATGCAGGGGCGGGGTGGGAGCCTTTTAATCCCCAGCCATATTAACATAGAACTTTATATTTGGATAAACTTACGCCTGTGCTGTTTTAGCTTTCGAGCATCCCTGTGGAGTCCTAAGGACAAGAGTACCATTTCCATGTTACAGACTCAGGTCCAAGTAGGGTCAGTGACAAGCTGAGTTAGTGACACAGCCAGAAAGAAGATTGAGGTTTCTGGCCCTCAGACTCAGAGCCCTGCCCCGGACTGTATCGCTGGGGCAGAGAGAGGGTCCTCCTGTGCAGCCCAAGGTGTTCTCCGTGGGAAGGGGGCTCTCAGAGCCGCCCAGCAGCTGGCCACATTGGGAAACTGCAGGATGGGCACAGTGTCCTCGCTCTTCACCCCTAAGCTGATAGCCCTGAAAATAAAGAACACTGTTTGGTGAGGAAGCAGGGACTGGTGACAACTGCCCAAAGGGCCCTAATGGTAGCTGAGTGTCTTCTCTATTGGAATTTAGGCCCTTCTGGGAACCCTCTTCCTCCGTTCCTGGGGTCATGGGCTGTCAGAAGGTAGATGCTCTGGGAAAAACTGTGGGACTAAGCACACGCTGCTCTTTTTCTCACGTTCTTTCATCTCCATAAACAAGGTGTGCTGCTTTCAGAAGCAGTGGCAGAGACAAGACAGCCTTGCAGTGGTTGGGGCCATGCAGGGCTCTGTCTACCTTTGGCTCATCATGGTTTTTCCTTTTTCTCTTCCTTTCCTCCTCAGATCAGCCTGCTGAACTCAATTCATGAGAACTTCTCACAGTAAGTACTGGTAGTCCTCCTTCCTGGCAGCACCTCCTTGTACCCTTCACTGTGCATTTGGCTCGCCTCCCCGTGAGAGGAAGTGTGAGGGGCGAGACGGGGCGAGACGGGTGGTTTTACACTCTCACCCCCAAATGCACAGTGCGCCTGTGTCTTGCTTTACACGTTCTTGCAAAAATTTCTCAGCGTTCTTGCAAAAATACAGTGATGTTAGAGTGAGTTTGAGAAACACCAAGGAATATCTTGGGGGAAAAAAGTAACTTTCAAGTAATTTGTGTCTCACTACTGTATTCTCTTTGTATATTACTTTTGTCTTGTTAAGATTAGATCAATACCATTAGTTCTTGAGCACATAAGGATGCGTCACAATTTAGATAATGAAATAATCTAATTTTTAAAAAGATTTTTAAAATCTGCTGATAGATCTTGTTTCTAGGTGAGTGTGCATCTTCCAAACTACTTTATGCAGATAAGAATTCTTTTTCCCCAAAAATTGTATGGCAAGGCCCACCTGTACCCAAGTCATACCAGCCCTCAAGCATGCCCAGTGGCCTGCTCACCGTCCAGCAGCCCAGGGCTTGCTGTCTATACAGCAGGCTCCCTTTGCTTCCAGCACAAACCTCTCAGCCCCTGGCAGGTGACCGGTGACTAAGATCTGAATGGATTACAAACTCCAGATCGGGAGCTTCATTTCTAACTAAAAACAAACCAAAAAGAAACCACAGCTCCCTGATAAGATTCAGATTCAATTAGTGACTTATAACCTTGACATTTCTAAAAATGGTGCCTTCATCTTTATTTCCTGATAATTGAGAGAGGCTGCAGTGTGTGATGTTGCTGTGATGAGTTCTGCTCTGTCAGCCCGTCCTGTGGGAGAATTCTCAATCCCTGTATCCACGTGCTCGGATCCTTGTGGCGCCATTCCCAGCACAGAGCAGGAAGTGAAGCGGATGGTTTCAGGACACCAGGAAATCCACTCGTTTAGCTGCTGCCCTCAGAAATGAAACCAGATTTCCTGACCGTGGTTTTAGGAAAATCTCAGAGTATGTCTGCCAGTCTTGAGCAGTACCTCCGAATCCTCAGATTTCTAAAAACTAAATGGAATTCATTTCTTAGGCAGTCCATGTCATCATCAAAGTAAGAAATATTTTTGTTGGTTTTAATAACATTGTGTTTTGCTTTAAAAAAATACATACTTAAGCAAATTGTAGAGAAAGTGAGGAAAAAAGATTAATATTAATATTCAGTTATGAGATGAGGGTAATTGTCATTGCCTTCCTCTGAGTTTAGAATCCGTAACTGCCTGGGACCCAGGGGCCCCCAGGAGTCCACCATGCCTCACAAAGGCATCATCTGGGCACTGGGCAGACTCCTTGATGGCTCCCCCTTCCTCAGCGTCCTGCATGCTGGTCTTCATTCTGCTGATTGTTTCTTTCAGAGCCATGGCCTCCCCTACTGCCCGGGACCAGTTTTTACGTCAGATGGAACAGATCGTAGAAGGAATTAAGCAGAGCAGAATGAAGGTGAGAGGACTTGTTTTCTATAGTGCAGCCCGGATCTCACACTGGTTACGGAGAAGGCCTTAGGAAGAGCAGGCCTCTTCTGCTTGTCCTGAGAATGTGCTCCCAATCCTGAAGACACACCTTCAGTGTCTGCAGCGTGGATTCCCAGCATACCTCCGACCCTGCAATGGGCAGCACCAGCTCCACAGGCTGGTGGTTTAATGGAAGCTCTTAACAGTAGCCCCATGGATTGAACATCCACTATGGGCCAAGCATGGTGCTAGTCCTCCTAGAAGCCTTCCTAAATGAGTAGTGTTACCCCCATTGTATAGAAGAGGAAGCCAACTTTCACCAGTGGACTTCTTCTCTTGTCCACAGTCTCTTCTTCACTGGATCTTTGGTTCCTGAAATTCTACCATTAGAGATTCATTCCTTAGGATGCTTGAGAGCATTTTAGTTTTCAGGAATCCTCCGTAAAAAATGCAAATAATTATCGAACTGAATTCTGAAGTGAGAGGATATTATGCCTCAGAAGAGAAAAGAGGAATCGATAAGCATTGAGAGTTCCAGAGATAGCCTTACAGAGAATCATTCATCCTGGGGCCAGCATGGAATTTTCATCACTCCGTGGCTCTGCACTTGGGCTGTTTTGACTATAGTAAAGATTTAATGACTGTCTAGAAACCAGACATAGCTGCAGTTTTCTGCTGTTATAACCAGATGAGTCTTCGCTAATACTTCCAAATCTCTTACTTTTGATCCCTTTAAAAACGTGGATCACACCAGAGTGGTCCTCAGGCATGGCAGTCAAACTCTGGGGACTCAGGGCATCTCCTCTCTCGAGCTTGGGGCAGAGTGGTGCAGGGGGTGATGTCAGAATGCGAACACACGAAGGAAAGAGTGCCTGTAGTACTTGGCATCATAAAAACCCACTCCCAGAAGGCCAGCCTTCATGGTTCCTATAATCTCATCTCACAAGAGGTGAACTGAGGGCAAAAGCTCTTTATGTCCCTTTCCCTGTCGAAAATATTAATCTCTCCATTAACGACTTCCATAAAATGATGTCAGTGGAGGAAAAAAAAGAAATTACCACTAGTGACAAGACTGTTCAGCCCCAAAAATGAAAGCAGTCGTGAGGCAGCACGTCATCTGCCTTGTGCACGTACACACACCCAAGCCAGGACGGTCCCTTCTTGATGAGCTAAGTCCTAAGGGTATAAGGGAGGAGGAGGAAGACGGAGAGCCTAGCTAAGCACAAGCCTTTAACAACCCAGATCACAGCGGGGTGGACCTTTCCGCCCTCCTGTCATGCCATCATGCTCCTCCTTAGGGAGCTGCTTTTTCTTTTTTTTTTTTTTTGAGAATGAAAGCTGGAAAGTGGGGGTCGGGGGGGGAGAGAGAATCTTAAGCAGGCTCCACCCCCAGCACAGAGCCTGATGCTGGGCTCCATCTAACAACCCCCAGACCATGACCTGAGCTGAAATCAAGAGTCAGAGGCTCAACCCACTGAGCCACCCGGCACCCCGCAGAGCTGCTCTTGTCCATAGTAAAGAACACTGGGAATTGATTATTTTGTTTTGTTTTGTTTTTCCTTTGGCTTCCCCTTCCTGTTTACCAGGAGACACGTTCCTAGGAAAGGAAGTAGATGTGATCCGTTCATTCTCTCCATTCTCCCCCAGGCTTTATGCTATTGGTACCTCAGTGCCGACCAGTGAAAGAGGCTGCTCTGTGTCTGTCTCCCCAACTAGATGGTGGGGTACGAGATGCCCACGGGCAGAGAGGGTTCTCTTCCTCGTGTGAGCATCGCCAGTGGCGAGCCCGGCACCTGACCCACGGTGGGCTTTCGGGAACTGTTTGCTGAGTGAATGAATTCATTCAATTGACTGCAAAGGCAGTTCTCAAAGAGGGTTCCTGGTCAGGTTTGATTATTGGCCGGCATTTCAAATGCAAGAAGGCTGTCTTTGCAGAACAACATTTGTTTGGATGCATGTCTTTTGAAGTGTTTGTTTAAAAAACCATAGCCCTCCCTATATGGATGCCATGGTGGTTCCTGCTCAGAGTATATGCGGCAGGGGAGTCTGTGTCCTCACACAGCACACAGCCCCGGAATTGGTGGGTGTGGGATGTACACGGAGTAGACCATAGACCAGCAGTGTGTACACATAACAGGAAGGGTGTGTACGGTGCATGGAAGGGCTCCTGAGTGAAGAGAGAGTCACATACTGGAAGGCATTTTATTTTATTTTTTTAAAGATTTCATTTATCTGACAGAGACAGCACGGGCAGGGGGAGCGGTAGGCAGAGGGAGAGGGAGAAGCAGGCTCCCCGCCGAGCAGAGTGCCAGATGTGGCGCTTGAACCCAGTTCCCTGGGATCATGACCCGAGCCGAAGGAAGTCGCTTAACTGACTGAGCCACCCAGACGCCCCACTGGAAGGCATTTTAACCTCATCCTGAGGAGGTGAAGTCTCTGGCTCTCTGGAATACTGGGAGCAAGTGCTCCGCAAAAGAATCTAAGGTTCCTGACCTAGAGTGTGAAGGGGGATGAGCAAGGAGTGGGAACAGTGGGCCTGGGGAAGGGGTTGCTAGGACAGTGTGAAAATAAAACCCAGACCTAGGAGTCAGCTCCTGATTCTGTGGGCTCTCACCGCCTGTTACCAACTGCATTCTAGGTGTCCAGCGTGAAGACAAAACACAGTCTTTATTGAATACGACCCTGAACCAAGTGATGTGTCGTTCACTTAACTAATATCATATATACCTTGTAATCTGTGATCTAGGTGATATTATCCTTATCTTGCGACTAGGGGACCTGTCATTCCAAAAGATGAAATAACCTGTCCAGGGGTACACAGTAAGTGACAGAAGTAGGTTTGGAACCCAGGCCTTTCTGGTCTCGAGGTCAGTCCGTTTCAGGGTTGCTACACTACCTTTCACGGCTGGACCTGGGGACATTCAAATTAAATTTATTAAAGTGCCCTGTGTATGTTGCTAAGACATAGTCATTCATGGCCAGATTTTCTGCTGGAGGGCAGAGCAGGCAGGAAAGGTCTGGGATCGATCTGCCAGACTATGCGACTTAAAGGGTAGGGACCCAGCAGTGAGGTCCCACCCAGCTCAGCAGAAAAGGTTCCTAACGGTTGTGGGAAGTGGTGACAGGAACCATAGTCATCTGGACAGCATCAGGAAGCCTGCCAGAAGGGAGCAGGGTGGACTGCTGAGCCAGGGATGAGTGTTAAGGTGGCCCTGACCAAAGTCCCCAGGGGGGACTGCCCGCCTCTGGGAGACCTCAGGGGCAGGCAGGTTACCAGACTCCAGGCCTGGGCTCAGGCATGTGACCGGTGTCCATGTGCAGACCTATGGAAAGAAGAGGGCAGGGGGCTCAGGATTAGGTCACCAGGTGACTTAGGAGCTGGATACATGGTCAGGAGTGGACCAGGCAGACCAATGCCCATGTGGGTGGGATAGGCTGTGGGGACAGCAGGTTGCAGTTCACCAGTTGATGGGCCCGTGGCCTGGAGAGGGGTATGACTGGGATACAGTGCAGCCAGTTCAACTTTAACCTGGATTTACTGGGCCATCCCTTCCAACGTGTAACTCGGAAGCCCTGCTCAGGCATCAGAAGACCAGTGATTCCGTCCAGCGTGCTCTTGAGCACCTGCTGCGAGCCAGGCACCAGCTGGCCCCCACAGCTTTCTGCCCTCACCACCCGGGTGATGCTCCCACTTGCTGCCGGAAATAGTGCACATACCACTGCCGACTCTGCCCAGTGTCACCTCCTCAGAGAGCCCTCCATGGCCATCCAGCTGAAGAGGCTGTGCGCCCACCCGCCTCTCTGTCCCCCAACGCAGGCACTCTCTTCACAGTAGTGATCATGAATAGGGATTTGCACATGGATTCTGCCAGGTGCTTGGTTAGCATCAGCCCCTCTAGCACCCTCTTTGGGAGCAGTGATGCCGCCTCGTCACCACCGTGTTTAGTCTTCAGGGTGACCGTGCAATATCTGTTGGAAGACTAAGCTGTCAGGTACCTTAGGAAAGTCTCTTTAACCCACATCCAGCCTTTTGTTTATGAGGTCACCGTCCTGGAAACACCCTAAATTTTCCACCAATAGAAAAATGGGTAAGGTAGCAGTGTGATTGGGAATATTGTAGAGTTTTTAAAGTTTTGATTGTTGAAAGCGTACAATAGCATGGCAACACTTACGTTGAATGAAAGAGGACTCAGTTATTTACATAGGAGTTTCTCAACCTCAACACAATTAACATGTTGGGCCAGATGACGCCTTGTTGTGTGGGGGCTGTCCTGCACGTTGTAGAAAGTTTAGCAGCATCCCTGGCTCCTAGCAGAAGGTGCTTGGAGCACCCTCTCCTCACAGCTGTGGCCATCTAATCCATCCCCAGATACCACCTCGTGCCCTTCAGGGAGCAAGATCACCCCTGGTGGAGAACCACCAGGCTGTTGATTGTGGAGTTGTAATCTCACACACACACACACACACACACACACACACACAGTTAACACACACACACACACACACACACACGACAGTTAATGCCCAATGATAGAATTGCTGAGTAAATTCGAGAAACCTCTATGCAATATCACGCAAATAAATAGGTCCATCTCAGAAATGATATAAAGAAGTCCCTGGAAATGTTGGTAATAGTCACCTTTTGGGTGTCGCCTGCAGGCCTTGGTCACCACGTGCCCTTCCTCACCATTTCCCAAAATGTTTCAACAGATGGAAAAGAAGAAGCAAGAGAACAAGATGAGAAGAGACCAGTTGAATGACCAGTACTTGGAACTGTTAGAAAAGCAGAGGCTCTACTTTAAGACTGTGAAGGAGTTCAAGGAGGTAAGAGGGAGCTGGGGCCAGGCACGGAAGGCTGGGGGGGATTTGTGTTCGTCTCAAGAGGAGCCCTTAAAAACCACAGTGGCTGCCTGGTTTCCCACTGGTCTGGGGATGGGTAACAGCAGGTCGGCAATGTGATCCAACAGTAAAGTCCCGCATCCAGGTAGTTCAGGACTGCATGGTGCGCTGGCCCATCTCCAGTCTTGAACTGAACGTTCTGAGAGACATCACAACTTTATTTTTATTCCCCTCACGTTTAGTAAGCATATTAAACTCACAAGTAAAATAACATCAAAGGCCACCTGGAAGCAGCATTTGTTACACATTCAGAGCTGGAGTTTTCCTTCCCCCCCATCCGAGGTGGGGGAGGGACCTTGAGAAGCCTGTGGGAAGGGTGAACTTTGAGCGTGGCAGGCTCGGGTTCGAACCCTGCCTTTACCACTTACCAGCTGTGCACTTGGGCAGTGACTGAATCCCCCCAAACCTGTTGCCTCCTTGGTGGGTTCTGCTGGGTCAGGCGAGGGATGAAAGCATCTAGCACTCCGTCTGCCTCCTATAACACCCAGCGCTCAACTGAATTTTGTATGTCCCCGTCTTTTCTCCCTGCATTTGGGCAGGGTTACTCTCCGTGGGTCCAGAAAGAAAAGTGTTTGCCCCTTTCTTATGAGATTTTCTGGAAAGGAGATTTTGTTGTGTCACTTACTAGGATATCAGCAGCTTCATTTTCAGGAATTCCTAACCCAAATCCATGTGATTTCAGTGAGTATAGAGATTGCTAAATATAGAGGGGCTAGAGGTGTAGGTTGTATCCTGGTGTTAGGTCCACAGAATAAAAATTACGATCTTTTCATACCAATAATTTTATTCCTGTATATTTTTAAAAATTTGTTTCCCTCCCTCCCTTCCTTCCTCCCTTCCTTCCTTCCTTCTTGATTTTTCCTTTTCTACTTCTCCTTCCCTCTTTTTTTTAAATTTAACTTGTGGAGGCCACAACCCATAGACATTTCAAAATCTCTCACACTTTCCATAAATGATCTTCCCGCTCCTACCATGCCCCTGGGGATATATCAGGTTGTTAAACAGACCCGCTCCCTGTGTCAAGGAGCTTATGTTGTGGTTGGGGAGACAGATAACAAGTTAGGAAGCACAAACCCTAGTAAACAAGTAATAACAAATGAGAACTAATTTCAGTTTTTGCCAGGGGTGGGAGCACTAACGGAGATGATGTAGTCAGGGCGGGTCTCGGGTGCGGTGCGGACTTGGCCAGAGCTCTTTTCCCCCTTTAATGCAAATAACTCAGAGAAAAGGCCCAACGGGGAGGAATTAAATGTTGCTGGGACATGCCAGCACTGCCCTTTTGACAGCAGAAACAAAAAGCAGATAAGTTGAGGATAAGTATAAGCTGTCAAAATCAAAGCAAATAAAAGGAAATGGAAAAGCACTACGCGCTCTCAGGGCTGAAGGCTAAAGATGACCTCCCAAGGCAACGGTTGCTTCAGAGATGGTAAGCATCAGGCTTTCTGTGATCCTGCCTCCCTAGGCACAGAGACCCCCGCGTCAGCACGCGTGGGTCCCTCCGGGCCGCTGAGACCCCTAGACCATGTGCCTGCCCATGCCGTTTCCCTTCGTCCAAAGCTCATCGGGGAAAAAGGGAAGGGGAATATATGTTCTTCAGACAACTGAATAGACTCACCTTTAAAAAAAAAACAAAACATATTTTCTTGTTTTTTGACATGAAAATGATAGTATTTATTCTTTATTTTTTAACATTTTACTTGGCAAAAATTTAAAATTAGCAACTGCGTGTCAGTGTTCCGAATTCTTAAACTCTTTCCACCTGCTCCTCTGAGGTGACTCGGCCCCTCCTTGCAGCCACCACAGCTTGAGGAAGAAGTGCTGGCGGAGGCTTGCGGCTCCCCAGTTTCCACCCCATTCCTTCAGCTGGAGTAATTGTGCTATTTTACAGACGGCAGTTACCAGATAAGGTCTCACGTGTGGTGGAAGATCGGTCTGAAGGAGCAGACTTTCATCCCAGGGCGGGGTCTTCTTCCAGAACCCTCTCTGCCTGCTTTCTTTCCTTGCCCCCCACCCCCCACCTGCCTGGTCTCCTCCTGGGTTCTAAATTCCCGCCGCATCCTGGTCTGTGGCACTTGTGGTGGCTGCAGGTACTCTTCATGCAGAGCGCAGCAGCATCGCAGAGCACGGCCCTGGCCACCTTCGTCGTTCCCTTCATCGGGTCTGGCGTACTGCACCCTCATCCTGACCCCCAGCCTCCTTGGCTGTCGAGGCACTGGTTAGAGACATCCAGTGACCTCTAAGTTTCCACTGGCTTGCTCATCGCAGCAGGTGTGTTAATAGCAAGTCGGCCAAGGAACGACACATGCTCTGAAGTCTCTTTAATTGCATATTACGTTAATTAATTACGTCTCTAAACTACGGTCTCTCATAAGGTCACCAAAGAGAGCTTTAATTTCTAGCCTAGCACTGACGAATGCAGGCTGTGCATTTTCATGAAGCTGACTTTGAGTACATAGTTTCGAGGGGGCTGAAGTGCTGCGTCTGGCACATGGTGGGCCCCATGCACTCTTCAGTAGGACAGAAACAGAGGCAAGGAAGTTTTTTCCCTTCTCTTCTGGAAAGAAATGCCTAAAGGACCCTTTCTGCATTTGCTTTGAACAGATGGACAGTATCGTTCTGTAGTTTCCCCAAAGGCCTCCGGTAGATTGCATGAAACTTCATGAGCACTCGCACAGAGCAGGTGACGGATGGCCCAGGATACCTGTCCTGGGAAGTTCCAGCACCATCTCAGCTTTGTGTGCATAGACTGGCCCCTGCCGGGGACGCTACCACAGGACCATGTTGATGCTGCTGAGCTGTTTTGCCTCATTTAAAAGTTCAAGTGGGTGACAACTGAATGTATTTATTCATTGTTTTGTTGTTTTATCTTTTATTATGGAAATTTTCAAAAAATACACAGAAGTAGAGAAGGTAATTTAATAATAGAGTAGTATGACTGTCTCCCTGTTCTTTTTGCATCTTTACCCCCACACCCACGCTTTGTTTTTGGCTGGAGGCTTTCTCCCCAAGTAAATCGCAATAACTCATTTTATTTTATTTCATTGTATTTTATTTTCTCTTCAATAACTCGTTTTAAAAAGGACAACTTTCTTCTCTAATGTTACTCAACCTCTTTCTCTTCCCACGGCCCAGGAACAATTAACTCCCTCCCCCTCCAGAAACATGTGCTCAGAAAGTGTCAGAGTGCCTTGCTTCTGACAGTCAGCCTTCCCCACCGGCCCAGAGCCCAGCTATTCCCCCGGCTCTGAGGAGAAGGCTAAGTACCTGCAGGTGAACTGGCACTTAGTAAAAAAAGGGTCACTGCAGCCATGAGCCATGGCACTTCCAGAAAGAACCAAGGGCCTCCAGGAGCACCTAGCCAGGCCCAGGGAGATGGAAACACTGACCTCGGGGGTCTTGGATGCAGAGGGTTAAGCTGGAAGGATTTCTTCCACACGAAGGGCATCTCCAGGGAAGCAGGGCTTCTGGAGGCCTGGCCTCACTCTTGGACCAGGGCCCTCCAGCTTGCCTCTCCAGGCCCTTCCCACTACCACGTTCATCTCTCAGCTTAAACCGGGTTCCTGGTGACATGGCCCAAGGAAGGAGGGGACATTGTTTGCTAGCAGGTGGAGGTGTCCTGAGCTGTCAAGGCCGGTGGGAACAAGAGGGAAGGAGCAGGCGTAGTGAGAAGCTCTGGAACATGTTTGAAGAGGTGGATACAGAGTGATACGGAGGTGACCTCGCCCCACTGGGTGCCAGATGCCATACACACGGGCTGGGACCAGTGACCTCCCTTGGCGCCTGCAGTAATGGATTTCATACAGCTCATTTTTAAAAGGGGAAGTGTCTCTCAGTGCATGTCTCTCAGCCGGTCTTCTGTGAGTTTCTTTCTTAAAGCTAAGGATATACCCAATCTCCACTGTTGTCAGAGTAAGAACTTCGCCATGGGCTCTGCTTGCTGAGGTGTGCCTTTCGTCACCCCTTTGGCCACAGGCTCCAAGGGCCTTCCCCTTCCTTATCATAGTGGGTCCAGGATGGGTTCCTGAGTATCTGCTGGCCGCTTCTGGCCCCTGAGGATTGCAGTGGCTTCGTGAAGTCTTGTGGAATGACAGTGCGTAATCATCATCCAGTTCTCGGCCTTACAGTCCAGAAGCCCGTTGTCGTTACAGTTATTTTGGTACCGAAGGTCAGGTGAACCCATCCCGGCCATTCCATCATGCCGGTGGCAGCATGCAAAGGGGCCGGTTTAGTCGGTCAGTCACTGTGTCTCCTGGGACTGGGAAAGCTCATGCGCACGTTCTCTGCTTCCTTTCCAGGAGGGCCGCAAGAATGAGGTGCTGCTGTCCAGGGTCAAAGCCAAGGCCTCCTGAAAGTTCCCGGACATCATCGTATGTCACTGATTTTTTTTTTTTCTTTTAATGCCATGTATCAACTGCAAGATGGTGAAATGGTTCTGAACACTACAGTAGAGAGATGCAGGGGTCATAATCTCTCAGCACCCGGATATTTTCTTTCTCCCATTTGCTTCCATTTCATCTCTCTGTTGTTGATGGAATCAGACGGTGTAAACATGATGACTTGGATAACACCTGTCATCCTATGAGGAAATGCGGGCAGTATTCGTTCTGTGTCGGGTCAACTTGAATTTCTCCAGTAACATTGCACATATGAAGGTACCTGTATTTGTATGGACTCTCTGAATAAAAAGGAATTCATTTGTTCAGCAAATGTTAATTGAGCAACCAGTGAGAAGTAAGCACTGGGGGAGACGGAAGTATAAAACACAGGCCCTGCACCTCAGGCAGCCAGCAAGTGGCCCGGGGTGGGGGGCAGAAATAGCCCATTAGACCCCAGAGCTTGGTCACCTGAGTTTTTTTTTTTTTTTTTTTTTTTAGTAAACAAAGGTTTTTAGCTGAATGACCAGCCCATGTGAGTGTTGGTCACGTGGGCCCTTCACTTACCCTTGGTGCCTTTTGTTCCTGGCTCCTTGAGATGCCAGCCAGCAGTCTTAATGGTGTAACTGCAAGAATGAAAGCTCAATGGCTGCCATCAGTTTAATTCTTACACACAACTCGAGTTTATTTCACCAAAAATTGAAAACAGGGGCCTCATATTGAGGACCCCTACACAAGCATGACACCTTAATATGCCCAGTTCTCATGTGAGTACCAGCCAGGCGTGGTTGGTCTTGTGCATCCCTCCCCATTATGCACACACACCGTGAGCTCCACGTTCTGGACGGGTCCTGGGCCATGCACAGAGATGAGACTCATGCACCAGTCCCTGAGCTCCAGGGCAGCGTGTGGTAAATGCCAGAGCGACCGGCCACGAGCGGAAAGCGCTGGAGGAGGAAGAGCAGTGGGACGTGCAAAGGTCCAGGAGATGTCGTGGGCGAGGTAGGCCTGGGGCTAGATCGCAGTGGGGAGTTGCATTTTAATAGGCGGACACAGGTGGGAAGGCCATTTCGGATAAAGTACGACTGTAATTAGAAACTTGAAAGGGTGCAGGGAGAGTCTAAGCATGCTTGTTGGGCAAGGAGTGGACGGGCCTGTCTCTGCAGGACAGGCAGGCTGGGACCAGCCTTTGGGGGGGCCTTGAAGGCAGGCAGAGTGGTAGACTGTGTCCTCTGGAAATGAGCAGAGCAGACCAGATGCAGAGCCCCTCCTGCCCTGGCTGTCAGGGATCTGGCAGCTCAGCCGTGTTCAGTGAACCCCAGCGTGAGGTTTGCGCTTCATTCTGCATGAACCTTGCAGACATAACTGGTCAGTAGGTATGGACGTGACACATGGAAGCTTATACATGGAGGCAGCTGGGGCATTCGGTGCGGTCACAAGAGCATCACGTTCATTCTTAGTTCTCTGATGAGTGCAGTAAACAAATCTGATGTGGACAGAACTTTAGAAATCTGATGCCGGATTAGCAGCAGCCGTGGGTTTCTGTGGCCGGGCAGCGAGGCCTGTCCGATGAGGCTGGCTGCTTCCAGAGTGACACTCCCCTGTGCCGAGTGTGCCCTCCCTGGGCTGCATACGTCGCCCCTTGGCTGCTCCGGCAGCCACAGTCATCTGCAGATTGATTTTTGAAAGGGCCCCATGAAGCTGAAGCAAGTGACAGCAGGTGGCACTCTGAGCGCAGGGGGGTGGTGCTGGACAGCAGTTTGCAGATTATTTCAGATTCAGGGAAACATCTGTGTTTTCTTGTTGAGAAGCTCATGGACCCACCCCCCCAACAACATTTTGAGCAGTTATGAAATTGTCTATTTGTCCAAAGGTGGTAGGGAGGTTATATCCTGGGGTTCCATAGCACATCTCCATGCTATTGGGGAAAGTATGGCATGACTACTCTAAAGCAACTAATTAATAACCGTTTTTAAAAGTGAGAGGCATTTATTGGGTATGTTTCCAAAGAATTTCGTTTTGATTTGGTTTTGGTATGGGGAGGTATCAGAAGATCTCTTTTCCCCTTTTAATCCACAAGGTCTAGTACAGATAACAAGTTCATTCCTATTCCTTGGACACATCTTGGATTGGACTGCAGGAGTCAGTTTTGAGAACTGCGTGTTTGCTACAGATGCCCCACAGAGTGGATGGTGCCTTTGTGAGGAATTAGGACCATAAGCGTGCCTTACAGTCAGGCCTTAGAGGCTGACGTGATGCCCCAAGGCCCTCTTCATTTCAGAAGCCACTCAGGAGCATTCCTCCCAGGACATCTTGTGTGCCCAGAGTATGGCTGGGTACTGGGCTAAGCCCACAGACTTTTCTGTTTAAAAAAAAAAAAAAGCAGGAAACATGCTTAAGTTACTTTTATGAAATGTGTGCTTCTGGAGGAATGAGGCTTCCCCAGGAAGCATTCAGTTTCCCCTCTTCGGTCAGAGCCATGAGCTTGCTAACATGGCAGCCTTCCTGGGGCTGGCCACCCGGTACCCTGGCATTCTCCACCAGCCTCGGGGTGGGGTGCCACCCTCCCCAACATGCATCTCGCCAAGTACATGGGGCTGCCTTGGTCTAAACCAAAATCAGAGCTGCTGAGCAGTACAGACTAGAGGACCATGAGGCATGCAGGGAGACATTTGGACATATTTTTTGTTGTCCTTGGCCTGGGTTCCGTCCCATGGGTCCCTGGGGTCAGCTCATTGCAGTAGAGGGAGGTTCCGAATGTTAGAGAATGCTGTCAAAGTGACACGTCGGGGTCTGTTTCCTTTTTGAACAGAGAGAGCAAATTCCAGGTTTGTCAGGCCTAAGGTCTTGTTAGAATCTCAAGTGTATGGTTTTCACTGGGTTCTGGTCCATTGCCCGTATTCCGTGGGTAGCGGAATGTCCTGCCAGTGTCTACTGAAGCAGGACCAGACGGCCGAGGGGCTGCGACAGATAGCAGGCCTTTCTCAGGCTGAGGAAGCACTTCTTGACAAACAGCGTAGCTCTTGGAAGCTCCTGAAACCAGGAGCAGAGGACAGGGCAGGCCTCAGGCAGCCCTCTGCAGCCTCACGCAGCGCCATCCCCATGACCTCAGGCTGACTGTTGCTGGCCTTGATCATGTATGTAGTGACTAAAGCAGGCCTGACAGCAAAGGCACTTTGGACCGCAAGCAGTGGCCTGTGACCCGGGCCACCTGGATTTCTGTCACTCGGGCATGGCCTTGTCGTGCCCTGTCTGCACGTGACTGATCATCAGTGTACGAGTGAAGCAGCCATTCTAGCGATAAACTTTAGCAGGTACTTTGGCTGAGCCTGAGATGCAGAGCTGACTTGAAGCTTGCTTTGGGGAAGAACATTAAGGAAGTGCTTTATGCTCTACTTGTGTCCAGTGCTGGCTTCTGGGTACAAGCACATCTTACTGCACAGCAGTCCCACAAAGAGCCCCAGCAAGGTGAGGTACCTGCCGTCCATTTCTGTGGCTGGGTAACTAGTCAGGTGGCGTGCCTTGTGCGAGGCATCTTCGGGGCCCCCCAGGCCTTCTCTTAGTCCTTTTCCCCAAGTCCAGAGCATTTCTTCTAACAGCACACGGCGACGGGCTCAAAAACGCTTTGTAAAAAATCATGTTGTCATGGTCCCCACTCTTCTCACGATAAATGTGTAAAAGCGTCGAGGGGGTCTAGTAGCTGGTGTGTGGCTCATTTGACATTGTGGGGAATACTGTGGGTTTTCCGCATCAGCCTTATATCAGTTCCTCAAATGCACTGAGCTCGCACCTGCCCGTGGTTGTTGTCCTTGCTGCTGCCTCTGCCTGGTCCGCCGTCCGTCCAAGGTCAAGGGCAGTGGCTTTCTGGGACAGCCTGATCTGCGACAGACCCATTCAGTGTCTGCCTGCAGCCCTGATCACATTCTACCCTTTCCCCTGCTGTCTCTCTTGGTGGCACAGGCTGCTGTTTGATCTCTTCGTCCTTTGCGAAGTCTGTTGCGTGCTCACCCCCGAGAGTGGGAGAGCGGTGAAAGCAGGAACCGTGCAGTCTCCCCAGAGCCTGGCTTGGGTCAATGGCCCAGAGATTCTGGCCGCGTAAAAGAGCTTCTCTAAATTACAACTTTGCATCCCTGTATTAGCAGAGTTTAGACTGAAACTTCCGTCTGATTTATGCTTTGTTTGCATACAGGTGGACCGTTTTACTCAGCAGCTTGAGAGAATCTCTCAGAGTGTCTTTGTTAGACTCGAACCTCAAAGGTCAGGATGACAGAGGGGTCAGAGGTCTCAAACCATTCAAAGCAATTACCTTTCACGTGGGTTTTTTTCTCCCCAGACAGGGGGAAAGAGAAAGGGAACACACCAGTGTCAGAGATTAGGTCATGAGTCTCTTTTGACTCCACGTATGTCGTGAACCTAACGGTCGCTTGACTGGTTGAAGTGACTCAGCCACATGAAACCAGGAAGTGGGGAGCAACCGTGGGATGCGGTGCTGGCAGGAGTACGAACTGTACACATCCATGGGGGGCAGTCGGACCATATCTGCGAACAGTGCAAATGCACAAACCTCTTGAGCTAGCAGTGCTGCTTCTAGTGTTCCTCATGTACAAGGAGTTTTACTGCGGCCGCCACCAACACACGGCGATGGTTAAGTAAATCAGGGTGGATCCGTCCAGTGGGCTGTTAAATTTGGAAGAACAGAGTCACTCTGTATGTACTGCCGTGGGATGATCCCTAAGGCGCACGGTTAAGTGGGGGACAAGAGGCTCTTGGTATACTAGTGCTCGTTTTTGAAAGAAGGGAGGGGATGGGGCAAACGTGTGGCGATGGGTATACACACGTGCATGGTGCATTCATGCACATCTGTCATGCATTCCTGCTAGCATGTGCCTAGACTGTCTCTGGGAGGACGCACAGGAACCCGACAGCTTCGGTTGCCTCTGGGAAGAGGGCTGGGAATTGCTTTTCACTGTGTATCTTTTGTACCTTTTGAATTTTATACCATGTACATGTATTATCTATTCAACAAAAATAAAGTTTTTAAATCTTAATTTGATTTGATTTTCTACCAAACAGAAACATGACAGAAGATTCATGTTTGATAAATCTGCTTTCCTTAGGAATTTAAAGCCCTACTCCCAAAGTAATGAATCTCTCCTTTTCTTGGGTCTTGGGGGGAAATAGGGAAATGGAAAGGGGGCTCGCCTCTTCTGACAGAGCAGCTATAGGGAGAGGGGGCAGTGGACCGTGAAGTGGTTTGCCCCTCTCTCGTGAGGGTCACAGCACCACTCCTGTTCCTCTGGCTTTGGGGGTGCAAAATATGGAGATGGTACCCCCGAGGCAAGGAGATGTTGCTGCTGGGAATCAGCGCAAGATGCATTAAGAGAGCTCTGTTCTTGCAAGTTGTTGGGGAAGGACAGGGTGTCTGGAGCGGCCTTAACCATTTTGAGACCATGAGAAGAGAGATCCCGACACAGGGAGCTTGGCAGAGTGAAAAGATGGGAAGAGCCTGACTCCCTGAAGGTGAGCCTCTTGAACCAACCCAGGGACCCCTCGCCCCCATATTTCTTGTTCCATGAGAAAAATAAATCCCTGATAGCTCCTTCATTCAACCAACAAATGTTTGAGCTTCTGTTGTGGTCAGGCCCTGGGAATACAGCAATCATGGTCAGAATCCAAATTCCCGTCCGACATGCATGAAGAAACATGGAGGCCATGCTAAAGGGGAGAAAGGGAGCATACTTTATCCATTGTACATGACTACATTATAAAATATACCATTGGGTTAGCCCCATCCATCCTACAGACCTGGAACTTTGTGAACTTGGATTCTGACATGAAGATACTTTAGCAAATGAATCTCGACAAGGAAGAGACTAATTCCTCTTACATCCTCCCACCTCCATCTTAGGTACTGCAAGCAAAGAGATTTGAGGCAGAGCAGAGACATTATGGTTATTAAAGCAGTTCCTGCAATGTTCATTATAAATCAGATACTTTGTCAGTAGACTGTTATTCTGATACTCTTATTAAAAGGAATTACAGGGGCGCCTGGGTGGCTCAGTCGTTGGGTGACTGCCTTCTGCTCGGGTCATGATCCTGGAGTCCCTGGATCGAGTCCCGCATCGGGCTCCCTGCTCGGCGGGGAGTCTGCTTCTCCCTCTGACCCTCCCCCCCCCATGTGCTTTCTCTCTCTCTCATTCTCTCTCTCTGAAATAAATAAAAATCTTTAAAAAAAAACAAAAAAATACAAAATAAAAGGAATTACAGGTGCAGCCTTACAGAGAGTCAGTCATCAACTGATCTGTTTCAGAAATTAAGCATTTTGTAATTATAGTGGTGGTTAGGGAAGGTCTCCCTAACTGAAGAAAAGGGTCAAGTCTGAAAGGTCCAATAGAAGTTGCCACCAAGTCAGCAAGCAAGCAACCTCCTTTTAAGAAGGGCTCCACATATGTAATTCCTTCCGCCTGGGATGCTTCCATCATGATCCTACATTAAGCCAAAGCCCAGGCCAAATGAACATGATCGTAAAGCATCCTACCCAGTAGGAAGAGCAAACCAAAAAATTCCACAAGTACCCCTCACCAAACTCTACCTAGATTCTTCCTCTAAGGCTCCTGCCTGGAACCCAACTAGAACAATGCAAGCAGACCCACTACACCAGGTGCAGTGTTCATGCTGCAAAACGCAAGCAGACATTGAAACATGGAGTCCAGGCCAACTTCCGTTGAGTTCCCGTCCTTCCCCATGCTTGGATACAGGTCAACTTGAGTCCAGATACCAGTTCTGTCATGTATGTACTCACGTGTGACCTCAGGCAGGCTATTTACCCTCTTGGAACGGGGTTCGATGAGGACAATACCTACCTCGCAGGATAGATGTAGGATCAAACGAGCATTTGTATCTAAAACCGAGTACAGCAGCAACACATGGTGGATGCTTGATAAATAGTATGAAGAGAGGGACAGGGAAGAAGATCTCTAACACCACCAAGTGTGTTTCAGCGGATAGGGCAAAATCCCCAAGAGCCCCAAGCTTGAGCTCTAACCCTTCAAACACAACAGTGTGCCCATTCCTTTCTTTCCTGGCTTGGTTCACAGAGGATTTGAGGTCGCTTGTAGAAAATACACAGACTATGATAGTAAAATACAAATAGAACAGAAAACACTAGGCTAGGGAAAACCTAAGTAAGAATTGGAATTATAGACTGGCTAGAAACCTTAGACACAAATCAATAGGATGCCAGTTCCTACACAGATTCCAAAGTTAGGCCAGAAATGTGGTTCTGTTCTTCCTGATCAAGGGAAAAATGGAAACATAATAAAAGTCCTCATTATCATAAGAAAACATGCTTCACAAAGACTGAAACAGAGGACTTTACATTTTTATGTGAAGTGCATTAACGTATTTCATGTTTCTTCAAGTATCTTCCAACGAAAGAATAAAATTCCAAACTATGACTCCACGAAAGCTGTCGTAGAAAGCCATACAAAGCACCTTTGTGGTGTCCCAACCGCTAGTCACAAAGGAATAGTTGAACCAAGACTGCCTTCAGAATCCCTCCCCTCAACAGGGTTGACATGCAGCAAAGCTGCATGTGGATGGTTTACGGGTCCTCAATTGCAAAAACACAAAGTTTGGTAACCAGAGGTGGTTTCTAACTCATTCAGTGACAAAATCTGATCTGACTCTGCTAGCTAGCTATTTTTAGTCTTTTCTCACAGTATAAATATTCATATATTTTACTGCACAGGTTGAGTAGAGACTGCTGCCTCCAACCCAGGTGGGGGTGTTACCTAATTCATGCAATGTACACCATATTGCCTTTCTAACACTTGAAAACACTTCTAAGTTCCAAAGCCCATCTGGCCCCAAAGATTTTGGAAAAGGCACTGTGGACCTCTATTCTCTGATAAACCCCAAAGTACAGGTCCTTTATAGTGGAAGCTTAAAGAATGTCTACATACCTCAAACATCCGGTGAGCCGATGGGGGAGTGTAATGTTTTGGGTACAATGAAAAAACCTAATCAGTTGGCAACCAGCCCTTCCCAAAATCAGGGGAACTGTGGCCAGCATGACTTAGTCCAGGTATCTCCCCTCATCCAGGCCCTTGGACCCCTAAATCCCCGGGCCACATTTGGTATTTTCAGGAAGGCCAAGATTCACTATGGCAGTTTGGGATTGTTGTGTCTTAGACTGCAGTCATCCCCATTTCGATGGCATATGTGAATGTGTGTGTGTGTGTGTGTGTGTGTGTGTGTGTGTGTGTGTGTGAGAGAGAGAGAGATCAGTCATACATATGATTTTGAGCCTAGAAATCAATGCTTCAAAAAATATTTTTATTACACATACAAGTGCGTATGATGAAGTGGTGGGAACATTTCTCATAGCTGCTCTCCCTTGTTCAGAAGCAGAGAAAGGACCCCGCCGGGATCCTCAACTCTGGCCGGCTAGAATCCCCTGGGGAGCTTTAAACACTCCTGCCTGAGTCTCCCCCTCCCAAAGGCCAATTTAATTGGTCTAAAGAACAATCTAAGCATCTAGCACTGTCTCTCACTGATGAAAAAAGAACTCAATAATTAGACTTCTCTGAAAGCCTGATTCAGTAGATATGGGTGGCACCACTTTTTTTTTTATAAAAAAAAAACAACTTTCAGATGATTCCCATCTCCCCAGTTGGGATACACCGCCTTGGAGATGGGGGGAGGTAAGTTGAATCAGGTGGGTAGAGGTGGGGGCTGTTTCACAAAGGAGACAGTCTCCTGAGTGGGCCCCAAAACAGGCCACCTGGGGCTCTGTGCCGAGGGATCCCCTCGGAGGAACAGGGTATTAAATAAAGGAAAGGCAAGTCAGCTTCCACTCCTGTGTCCATTCCAACCAGTTAGCTGTACCTAGAGCGCTGTCTGATAAAGATCCTGAGGCAGAGGTCCCGCTCCGTGGAGAAACGTGCCACGATCGATTAGCAATGTCTGCCACACACCCGGGAAGAGGGCGTAGCTGCACGCCTGCCACGCATGCGCTGTCTTTCCCGGCGAGCCTTTGGCATTGCTGGTCCTACAGTCCAGGCCCGATGGTAGGCTCTGACGTCATCGGTACTCTCTTGTGGGCCCAGGCTCCCAGATGCCTGGGGCGGGGAGAAATACCAGTTCCCTGCCCTCGGCCCTACCTGCAGGTCTCCTCGAGCCCTGGGTTTATCTCTGCTTGCTGAAGAGGCTCTTGAAGGCGTTGTTGTAGTTCTTGTTAAATGCTGTGTAAATCAGGGGGTTAAAGAAAGAATTGGAGTAGCCAAGCCACAAGAATATGCTTTTCCAGATGGGGGGCAGGCTGCAGGCACAGAGGGGACTGATGAGCTCCGCCAGGAAGAAGGGGATCCAGCACAGCACAAACACGCCGATGAGAATGCCCACCATCACGGCTGCCCGCTTCTCCTTCTGCTCCCGCCACGAGTCCCCGCTCGTCTGAAAGGCCACCACTGGGCGACGCGCCGCGAACACCACCATCTCAGCCTCCTGGGGGGCCTCCTTCACCTTGGAACAAGGGAAACGTGCGATTAACACATAAAACCTGACGTGGGATGATAAAGCAGCATGGGGTTGCTCCAGTGTGGCCAACACCTCTCCTGCAGCCTCTCAAGATGCGCTTATACCAGAATCCATCCAAAATGTTGGGTGAAAATGTTCCTGAAACTGTAAGTTAAAATAAGCCCTGAAGGGGGCAGCTGGGTGGCTCAGCCGGTTAAGCATCTGCCTTCCTGGGATGGAGTCCTGCATCCTGCTCCCTGCTCAGCGGGGAGCCTGCTTCTCCCTTGCCTTCTGCCTACTGCTCTGCCTACTTATGCTCTCTCTGACAAATAAATAAAATCTTAAAAAAAAAAAAAGCCCTGAAGTTTCTCCCTGGAGTGAGAGTGGTGGTCCCCACGATGTCAGATAATAAGATATAAAAAGGGAAGGTGGCAGATAAGAGCAGGAGCCTCAGTGTCAGACTCTGGCTTGAGTCCCAGCCCCAGTGGCCAAATCTGCTTTTGCCCCCCTGTGAAGCTGGGTGATAGTGTCCTCTCCCTCCATCGTAAGGCCACCGGGGAGGTGAAGTGAACTGGGAATGGGCTGGCTGCCTGGCACAACTCCTGGCACATGCACCCATTCGACAGTCATGGAGTGGGCTGGGGGCTGGGACTTGGACCCCAAAGAGAGCAGATCCCAGCCCAGGCACAAAGTTCGCAGCTGGTGAGGCAGCCTATAAACATCAATATTGCAAGAAATTATACAACGATGTGCTAAATGGATTCCAGATTTAGATTCTGGAGTACTGCTGCCTAGCTTAAACAAAACAAAACAAAAAACTGTAAATGCCTTTGTGGTAATAATTCACTACCATTTAAGGAGCCTCTGGTGCACCGTCCACCCTGTCACCCCCATCCTTTGGTCAGCTCCTCTTCACCTCTAGGGTCTCAGCTTAGAGGGAGAGTGGCCTCTCAGAGTGGCCTTTCTAACCCTCTAAACTCAAACACATCTCCCTGTTTGGTACCCCTTTCTCCTCTTCTGTAGAATTTGTGCGGCTATGGCAGTTACACCTGTCCGCCCGCCCTGGGCCAAGCTGAACCGGCGCTGGGACTGTCTCCCTTGGACACACAGATGCCCGGCAGCAGCACCTGGTGCCTGGCCGGTGCTCAGGAAACGGCCGCTCAGTGAACCAGTGATCACGACGGCAGAAAGGTCTACACCTGCGTCTCCCTTCTCCTTTAGAAGAGACCGCGCTGACCCATCCCCGCATAGGGGACCATCCTCAAGTCACCAGACAAGTCTGAGCCACAGAGACGTGCCATCCTGAAACCATCTCATGAATACTGAGCCGTGTCTTGGGGAGGGAACCATCTTATCAGAGCAGGAGCAGAAGTGGAAGGTGGCGTGGCCGTTTTCCTCCCTCCGGGCTCAGGACTGGGCCCTTTTCCAGCCACTTCTCTGCTGACCTCCCAGGCACTTGAGTCCCTCCCCCGGGGAACGGAAATTCCAAATCCTTGATATGCTATCGAGGCAAAGAAATGGGGTGAATTCAGTTCAAAGGGGCTCCTGGGGGAAAGAAACAGAAAAGGCAAGTTCACTGAGTAAGTTGGTTTAAAGGACCTGGCCTCCAGCCCTGTGGCGGTTAGCAGCATCCAGCTCTGCTCCGCCGCGGCATCTGTTTGCTAGAAGCCCGTGTTCCCAACTTTCCACCTGAGCCTGCTACACCCCTCGCAGAGAGAGATGCGGGAAGACCGTGGAATCTTTCCAGAAACGGCTTCAAAGAAACGGAGTGGCAGAGAGAGGCAATACAGCCTGGGATGATGATTCCGGTTTGCAAGGAGACTGACTAGCTTGGTTTTTGTCGTTTGAAATATAATATCCAATAGAAAGCCAAAAGAGGCTAAGAACAGCTCCAGAGAAGTTAACCATAAAACAGATACTATGCTTAAGTCTTGTAAAACAGACATAAACAGACACTATGCTTAAGTCTTGTAAGGGACGATTTGAATTCATTCTTACATCAAAATTTGGGGTATTATTATCTCCATTTCAGAGTTGAGAAAACACTCCAAGATGTTAAATACCTTGTCCAAGATCACCCAGTTGCTTATGGTAAGAGCTGGAAGTCAAACGGGAGTATTTTGAACCAGAGACCACACTCTTAATCCCTACCTGTTTTGCACCTTTAGTAAAGGTGATTGATCTGGATGGGTTCCAACGGAATCTTTTTTTATTTTATTTTATTTTTTTAAAATATTTTATTTATTAGAGAGAGAGAGAGAGAGAGAGAGAGCATGAGTGGGGGGAGGGGCAGAGGCAGAGGGAGAAGCAGGCTTCCTGCTGAGCAGGGAGCCCAATGCAGGGCTCAATCCCAGGACCCCAAGATCATGACCTGCGTCGAAGGCAGACGCTTAACCATTTGAGCCACCCAGGCGCCCCAAAAGAATCTATTTTAAGAATACATATGCTTGAGATTTTTTTCAGAATGGACATGTATGGCTTCCTGGCGATTTCTAGGGTCTCTGGCCGCCAGCTCTGGAGCCATCCCTGAGCTTCTCCGTCTTTCCTCATTGGTCTTCTCTCTCCTCACCTCTTCAGCCCGACTTCCCTCTGCACACCTGTCCTAACACTAACCATTCAGGCTTTAAGGGGCCTCTGACCTCTGGCTAGAAACCTACCCCCGCCCCCCAATCTGCAGGGAAGAGTCCAGGCTGTTGGATACACACAGCCGGTAGTCCCTGGCTATTTTGGGTCCTGCTGTAAGAGGAAAGGTGCTCTGAGTACACAGAAGTTTGGAGACACCAAACGCCATGGCCAAGACCACACAAACTGGGGGGAAAGCAGAACCAAGGCGCCTGCCTGGTCAGTCTGGTTCCAGGCCTGTATGGCCTCTCTCTGCCATGCTGGGACGGGACCTAAAAGATGAGTTTACCTTAACCTCTCCATAGAATCTGAGGCTTTTTCATCTACAATTAATTAAGGACCAATTCTGCCAGACAATATATGCTTAGACATTTATTAACCACCCACTGTGTGTATGGGGACTCTGTAGTAGAATCTCCCATCAAGTTCCAATTTGAAACATTCTGTTCCACTGTTCCCATCAGTACTCCGATGTCAGGGCAAGGATTCTGAATTGTTCAGAACACTGTGTCACCACCGACAGGCCAGGAGGGCAGGGACCATGAGTGTCCGGGCCCCTGAAGCGTCCCTAGCACCTAGTATCATGAATGGCATATAGTAAAAATAGTAAAAGTTTATTGACTTGGGAGATGTTTCGGGGAGACGATTCTCTCGCAGGTCTCTTGCATTTCTGCATGTTCTGCTAAGGAAGGCACTGACAGCCCCAAGTTTAGACTGGCTTATCGAGGATGTTTGTAAAGCAAACAACCTTAGAAGATAGAGATTAGTGTCTCCCAGTGGAAAAACAGCAGCTTGGCTTGCAGCCCCTTACAAAAGATTCAGGTTTCCTAAGGGCACAAGGCAGGTTTATCGAATGTCCAACACTGGGCAATACAGAGTTGAGCTCTCTCACCTAGGAGTTTCTCTGCCGTGATGCAGATCCATCTGGGCTGCTCCACGTCATTCCCGTGCGAGTTTGAGGGTAAGGGGAACCAGTGTCAATATGACGCTCCTGTGGACCTGTGTGCCAAGCGTAATAAAGTCCTCTGACTCTGATTCAGAGTCTCCTGGCTCCTGCCAGTGCCCAGTGAGCTGTGGCAGGCTGACTTGTTAGCTTGCAGGCAGGGTAAAATGTCGGACCTTCCAGGTTGCTGACAGTGGTCTGGTACGTGACTGGGTGGCTCCCCCCCGCCGCCCCGCCGCTATCTTACTCAGTAAGAACAGCAACCAGTAAGGAAGGAACAAGGAAGCGACGCTCAGAGCAAGTTAGTGGTCAGAGTGTTCTAATCAGAGCCCCCCCATTCCCTCATTTCTACACCTCTAACCGCGAAGAGCCTTGTCTGTGCTGTGGGCTTACTGTGAGGAACACATGGGAGGCCCGCTTAAACCTCAACTTCCCGACCTCTCGTCCCTTCCTTCTCTAAAAAAAAAAAAAAAAAAAAAAAATCCAGCTGCCACAGAAAGAACCCACAAACATTTGTAATCCTCTAATGTTGTCAATTAAACATCTAATAAGAAATAGGAGAGACAAGCAAAAAAGAAGAAAGATGGTCCTAATCACTTGTGGAACAAACAGTAGTTTCCACTGTGACCCCACGGGTCAGGCATCCAAGTATGGCAACGAGACTCTTTACTAAGCCTGGCGTCAGGGCGCCCATACTGATCCTAGTGATGAATTAAGCCCTACAACGTCCGAGAGGGAGACAGGACACAGATTTCTGACTCGGGCTGAAGGCAATCTGGATTGTAACTGGAATTCCCTGTTTCTTTTTTTTTTTTTTTTAAAGATTTTATTTATTTATTTGAGAGAAAGAGAATGAGAGATAGAGAGCACGAGAGGGAAGAGGGTCAGAGGGAGAAGCAGACTCCCCGCCGAGCAGGGAGCCCGATGCGGGACTCGATGCGGGACTCGATCCCGGGACTCCAGGATCACGACCTGGGCCGAAAGCAGTCGCTTAACCAACTGAGCCACCCAGGCTCCCTGGAATTCCCTGTTTCTATCCAGAGCTCGGCAGGATAGCTGGGGCTCCAATCTCTCTGCCCAGGGTTCACTGAGATAACCAAGCTCCACGGTGCATTTCCCAAAGGCACTTTACAGAGTTAACTCACCAAAATAGCCCCTCAAAGTGAACAGAAGCTGTCTAGTATGTCTGACAAACTAGATCAGGAAATTTTCTCAGCTGCTTCTCTTGTGTGAAAAGAAAAAAGAAAAGAAATGAAATTCAGGAAGTTTTCTTACAGAAAAAAAAAAAAGCAGAGCATGCTGGGCTTGAAAAAAAATAACTTTTCCTTCAGTGTAATTATATTCACAACAGAGTATAGAGTGTAGTTTTTCTGAGCTCTTGCGTGTGATCATAACATAAGGTACAGTTGCTATCTTTCTTGTTTTTGGAGAACGTGGATTTTTGTGGGGAGCGTAGTCACCGTGGATTGGCTAAGGATCCACTGGAGTTAATTCTGAGAAGGGGAATACATCTGTGTTTTCTGCTCTAATGTCATCTGATCGAGTCATCCCCATTTTACGAGTGGATGCCAATGGAAGGGCCTCTGCTGAGGCAAGAGTTCATACCCTGAAATCCCTGGAAGCCCAAGCCAGAGATTCTTGGCACGGGGGCTAGGGAGGAGGGAGTAATGGAAAGAAGGGAGGCTTTGCCTTTTGCACATGTATTGTCCAGACTCAGCGTTCTGATTTGCCCCCCTCGGGGGCCATGCCCTGACAACTACAGCCCTGCCTCAGAGAGTCACAGTTACTATTACACCGTGGGTTCCTTCTCTCAGAAAAGTCAGGGGGAAGGAAGGCTCAGCATCAGTCTTCAGAGATGGGCTTCAGGGACTGCCCTATGCAAATCGGGTGACTAAGCACCTATACACCTTTCTGGGCAGCAAGCCCAAGTCATCTGCGACCTACCCAAAGGTTAAGAACTGTGGAATTTGGATCTCAGTGTTCCACTGAAAAGCTCAATCTATTCCAAGAACCACACAGATTTGAGGAGTAGATCATTGCAAGGTCATTGGTGAAGACACATGGTCCCTGCACCGTATTTGCCTAACCACCGCCCCCCCCCGCCTTTCTCCTTCTCCCCCTCCACTCTTCTCCAACAATCCAATCAGAGAGAAAAGAAATGGAAGTAGAGGTAAAGAGACAGAATGAACACAACAACATAAAGGAAACAGCAAAGGAGAAGTTTGTAGAGACGGGAAGGCCAGGGGCATTTCTGAAGGTGCAGATTTTGAAAACGCTCCTTGACACATCCACGTGCTTCTGGAAACTCGCAGACTCTTAGGTGCCCATCTTAAAAGAATCAAACCATAAACCAGATTTTTTTATTACCACTGATAGAATTTGATTCATAAAATGTACTTTCCTAAAGTTAAAATAAGCTTGCAGTCTGGCATGAGAATGTGTTTGAGCCCACAGTTCTTTTAATAGATGGCATCAGAACAAGGGTGGTGATTTTCCACCACCGTCTTCCTGTACGTAAGCTCTGACAAGCCCGCAGGCCCACCAGCAGCTTAGTCTTTGGGGTGGTCCAGATGACAACTAAACATTGGACAAGTGACAAAAACATAAAGGGCTCTGTAGAGATTTCAGGTCACTCAAGGCTTAGGTACTATATGCTTACAACACAAAAACTTAATTTATGCTAATACAGAGAGTTAGCTTCGAGAGGCCAATATTTTATAATGTAACATTATCTAACACTCAGATCCAAGTTGTTGCAAACCCTACAGCTCAATATTACACATCTATTTTGCCCTTGACCATGTACAAAGTGCTTTCCCATATTCAGGCTCTCAGGACCATTCATTGTATTCTGGACAGACTTCTAGCAGAGCACCTATAAGATTTTACTGAATTTTTAATTATATAGTTGTGGTCTATTAAAATTAATCCCTTGAGAATAGAAACCTTGCTCACTCATTCTTTGAAACTTCAGAGGCTACGACAGTACCTGATATGCAGGTCAGTAACAGTCGCTCAAGTAATTTTGAACCCATCTGTGTGTCTTACACTGGTGGTTTTTTAAAATCTGTTCACAAGTTCACTGATACTTTTCCAAAGGTGGAGCCTAATTACCCTTGCCTTGGGTGTGGGCTGGAGTTGGCGACTCACTTCTAGTGACTGGACTATAGGGGAAGAGATCTCATGTAACTTCTGACACTAGTCTGTAAAAGGCATTGCAGTTTCCTCCTTGCTGTGCTCTCTGGGAAGAAGGGAAGCCAGGCACCATGTTGTGACAACGCTTAAGCAGCCCTGGGGAGACCTCCTGCTAACAGCCCTGTGAGTCAGCCATCTTGGAAGCAGTCTCCAGCCCCAGTCAAGCCTTTGAACGACTGCTGCCCCACCCGACATCTTGGCTACAACCACATGAGACCTTGGGCCCAGAAGGTCAAAGCCATTCCCAAGCCTGACCCACAGAAACTTAATACATGTTTGTTGTTTTACACCACTAAGCTTTGGGCTAATTTGTTAAACAAGTGAGAAGTAACTCCCCTATTAGGATGGTGAGTAATAGTAGTAAGAGGAATAAAATCATCATTCATTTTTTTTAGAAACTTACAAGAGGAATTTTAGAGAACAATAATGAAGATGCTACAGCAGCTTGCATTTATGGTTTACTATTTTAGAGACTCTGTATATACCATTATCTCATTTACTCATCACAAGAATATTGTGAGGCAGGTGGCAATATTTCCATTTTACCTGTGGGGAAATGCAGGCTTAGATTAAGTCACTCAGCTACAGTGCTAATAAGTGGCACAAAAAGAATTGAAATCCAGGTCTCCTTGCTTCCAAATCCCATGCTCTTCAACCACTGGGCACACTGTCTCCCACCACATGTTTATTGATTGAGTGAGTGAGTGAGTGAAGGGTGTCAGCGAGGGCTGCATTACCACATTCATGAGCCCTAGGCATCTCTGCCTCTGTGGGCCCCTTCTCCCATTAAAAAATATTAAAAATTATATTTTATGACCATATTATTATGAAGACTAATATAACTGAGGCTGGATACATTATCATATATTCATTGCTCTTATATTCATTCTTCCCCTAATTTTAAAAGAAATTAAAATTGAACCATTTCCACGGACCCCTAAAAGTACTGTGGTTCTGGGTAGTGTACCTATTGTGCCTAATGAATAATCAGACCCGGCTCATCAACTTGTGCATGGTAATCAAACAATTGAAAAAAAAAAACAGTTTTTGATGTCACATTTTAAAAGCCAACTACATAATCTCCATTGATTTTGCTTTTTTCTTCTCCTCAATAGTAAAGGGCACAGGCCGGTGGGAAACAATCATGACCCATGGGGGTTGCTTGGAGGGGGGCGAGCAGGACATAATCTATATGTGGTGCTCATTCTAGAAAGCTGAAGGAAAGGAGGGCAGGGTAGGAATGAACCCTGCCTCCTGAGAGAAGCGGGGGAGTGCCTCCATGCTCAGCTGTGGTCAGCTGTCCTGGAAAGGACAGAGTTCACGAACATAGTCTTGAGACCCTGCTCCCATGCTGCCCCCACCTTGACTGAGATATGGCTGCCTCCTTCCTATGAAGGTGAGGTACCTGAGGGCAGTGGAACAGTGCTCAGCAGTTAAATCCCTGGAGACAGACAGCGTGGAGGAATGACAAAGTAAAGAACAGTGACCTCAGCTTCTCCATGCTTTAACTCTGTGGTCTTAGATGAACTGACTTTGTGGCGACTTAGTTTTATCAAGTGGAAAATGAGGGTTGGTGCCAAAGACAGTGTTCACCAAATAATTCCCGTGCTTCCCTGGATGTCACAGCCAGTGGCTGGCCAATGGGCCGAGGACAGAGCTGACATGTATCTGCTTTGGGGGAAGGCAGTTAAAGGCTGCTTTATTTCCATCCATCTCTTGCCTTCACACGGCAACCTTGGAAGCCAGTCGTTCCAGACCGCAAAGCTAGAAGATGGCAAGGGGTCCAGGTCCATGAGATGCTGCCTGGTGGATAGCTCTGCAGGAGGGGACCCACACTGAACTTTGAGAGTGAGATAAGCTGTCCATTTGGGGGTCATATGTGGCTGAGCATGTCTCAGCTGATCCGGACTGATGGAGATGATAGGGTCAACCCAGCTGGGTCATGGAGATGAAAGAGAAGATGGATGTAGAGCATCAAGCACAGTGTCTGGATGACAGGACTCACTTAGTAAACATTGGTTTCCGGCTCTACCTTCAAAAACTGCATTTTGCCCCAGAGAATTAAATCACTGCACAGGAACTCTTGCTGGTCCCATTCTGATCATATCTCAGTGTTGGGACCTGGCCAGAGAATTGCAGAAAAGATGAAGGATGTACACAGCCCCATTACCAGAGCCTTCGGACTCCATTTAGTGCTTCTATCACCCACAAAAAGCAGTAACAGACACGTTGCAGGACCTAAATTCAACTCATTTTCCCTAGAGTGCAGGCAACAGCAGGCGGGGCGGGGGGAAGGTAGATAGTATTCCGGGCATATTATTTTAAGTTTCCATTTGGGTGTCTTGTGGTCAGAAACCTTGTAGATGCTGACGGAGCAGCATTACCCAGGCATTTGAGTGAGGGCTGGCCGAAGCCTAAGGAAGCGGGATGCTCTCCAACACGATCCCCTCTGTAATCTCAGCATCACGTGACTGGAGAGCCCCAGCCAGGGCTTAGCCCCATACTGTGTATTAGAGAAGAGAACTTGCAGCCCAGAGCGGGGGAAGGGCTTGCCCTGGGTCCCACTGCCAGCAAGTGGAAAATCACATCACTGGCCCTGCCTCCCCGAGCTCTTTCTCTCCACCCATGGCCACCTCATTTCTTTCAAAAATGAACGCCCAACTCAGGTTTGGCAAGCCTTTCGGGCATCCATTCTGCCATGATTTCTCTAGGTGCACATTGGGTTGATGTAGCTATTAAAAATCAGCCCTACCTCCGCAATCAGACAGAGAAGCTATAATCACCCCAGGCATTTCCAAGGGACCTTTCAAAGAACATCATTAATTCTGAATAAAGCTCTCCCCTACCAACACTTTCCAATTCTAGTCTTGACATTCCTATTTTATGCTACAAAATCCCTCTGCCATTTAATGAAGAGGAAAGAGCCTGCTTTTTTAAAACATGTTTGCGTAGCCTACGTATCTGAGCTAACTTTCCAAAATTAAAACAAAACTAACAACAGAAAACCTACTGTCTCTTTCTCCCTGCCCCCTCCCACCGGCAGTCCTTCCTTGGGCCATGCACAGTGGTCTCGGGCACACACCCCCACCCCTTTACCCCCGCCCCCTTAGCCATGGTTTCACTTCCCTTCCCGAAGTTTCAGTTATCTGTGATCAACCGAGGTCCAGAAGATGATCCTCCTGATTCATCCACGTCAGTAGTAGCCTAACACTACGTCACGATGCCTACGTCATCACCTCATGTCATCTCCTCACATGGGCATTTTATCACCTCATAGCATAACCAGAGGAAGGGTGAGTACAGTACAATATTTTTGAAAGAGAGATCACAGTCACATAATTTTTATTATAGTATATTGGTATAATTGTTCTATTTTATTATTAGGTATGTTGTTAACCTCTGTGCCTAATTTATAAATTAAACTCTATCTTCAGGATGTATGTATAGGAAAAAATAGCATATCTGTGGTTTTAGGCATCCACTGGGGGTCCTGGAAGGTATGCCTGTGGACAAAGGGCAACTATTTTATTGTATTTGGAAAGGGGCAACACGTCCTGTTGTTATTCTCCAGGACTTGGAGCCTGACCACCACCCCCCCGCCGAAAAAGGGAAAGTTTGGGGCTTCTAGGATGAGGAGGGAGCTGATATTTATTAGGGCCTGGCCAAAAGGCAGAAAGCTCCAGTTCTAAATGCAATCAGAGAAGTTCTGCCAAATACGTGTTCCTCTGTCTCATTCATTTCCAGGGTTTGGTTCTGGCCCATTGCGGACTGCCAGGCAACACCCCGTTGATCCCTACCCCAGCCAGCTCTGCCACCCCGGGGTGCCAGGCACTGTGCTGGTGCCTCACATGCTCCATCTCGTGAGATCCTTCCTCACCAAGAGCCCTGTCAAGCAGGAATGAACTTGTTTAAAGACGTGGAAAAGAGGCCCGCAGAGATTAAACAACTGCCCCCAATGTCCCGAGCTGGGATCTGAACGGACGGTTCTATCTCCTTCCAAAGTCGCTAGAGGAAAACCCCGAGGTTGGGGTAGTGAGAGGAAAGTGATACTTGGGCTCTATTTTCCGCTCACTTCCCTCTTTGGCAGGGAGCTGGCCGACAGAGTTGGAGATTCCGTTTCTGGACTGCAGAGGGTGGACCTGGGTGCAGCGGCGAAGGAAAACGCAGGGACGTGGTCCTCTGCACGCGCTCCCAGCCCGCCGCAGTCCCGCTCTGTCTAGCCGCCACCCGGAAGCTGGCGGCTGCCCGTGTCACAGGGACACAACCGCTCCTGGGGAAAGCCCCAAGGGCTCGGCTCATCGGTGGTGCCCTCACCACTCCCCAGAAACGCTGCCCCTACAGACCCCCTACAGCCGCGTGCCTCCGCGGCGCCCGCGCCCCCGCCAGCCCTAGTGCGCGGGTGGTGAAAGCCCTTTCCCCGCGCGCCGGGTCCGCGGGGGGCCAGCCCCACGCGTGCGCGCCAGCGGCGGGTGAGGCGCCCCCTCGGGGCGCGCTCCAGGGCAGCAGATGCCAAACTCTCCGGGCGCTCCAGGTGCGCGCCCCAAGTGTGCAAGCTTCCGCCGCCGACTCTCCCGCTGGCCGAGTCGCCTCCTCCCGCAGCGCCCCCCGCCCCCCGCGCCCCCGTTGGGCGGCCCACCCCTCACCTGCAGGGTGGCGGGCAGCGGCAGCACGGCCCGACGGCGGCGGCGGCCGAAACGAAACTTGGCCGCCTTGTAGATCTTCCAGTAGACGAAGAGCACCACGCCAAGCGGCAGGTAGAAGGCGCCGCAGGTGGAGAAGACGGCGTAGGAGGGCTCCTGGCTCACCTGGCAGCGCTGGCGCCGCGCGTCGTACCCCTCGCCCCAGCCGAAGAGCAGCGGCGCCAGGGCGATGAGCGCCGAGAGCGCCCAGGTGAGCGCGATCATGAGCGCCGAGGCGCGGCGGCGGGCGCGCAGCGTGTACTGCAGGTGGCGCGTGATGGTCCAGTAGCGGTCCAGGGCGATGGCCGCCACGTTCCAGATGCTGGCGGTGCAGCACAGCACGTCGAAGGAGATCCACACGTGGCACAGACTCCGGCCCAGCCGCCAGCGCCGCCCGGCCGACAGCTCGCTCACCAGGCTCAGGGGCATCACCAGCGCCGCCACCAGCACGTCCGACAGGGCCGTCGAGGCCACCAAGTTATGCGGCACACGATGGAAGGCGCGGACGCGCAGGATGGTGACCAGAACCAGCAGGTTCCACAGGAAAGTGGCCGCGATCAGCAGCACCAGCAGCGTCACCACCAGCACCGTGAAGACGGAGAAAGGCGGCTCGCGGCCCGGCAGGGCGGCACCGCCGGGGGTCGACCCGACGACCCCGCCGGGGCTCGGGCCGATGCTGCAGGCCTCGGATCCCAGGGGAAGGGCGACGCCGGTGGCAGCAACCGAGAGGTTAGCTGCTTCCATGGCGCGCGGCGCGCGGGATCCCGGCTTCCCGGCAGGGGACACACGCGCGCCACCCCGGGCTCGTGGGGACCCGGCGGGTGCGGGCGTGGAAGGGGTCGCTGCGTAACCCCGGGAGGACAGAGAGGGGTCCAGGTCGCCCTACCCAGCCCCTCCTTGGGTCGCAGCCCCCTTTTGGCTCCTCTGCTCGGAGCCCTCGTGGATCTCCTTTCCAGTGGAAGAAAAAAAGAGAGTGGGACCCCCTCAGGAGTCCAGCTGGGCTCGGCGCGCCCGTCCCTCCCACCTCTCCGCGCCGTCCCCGGGGCAACGGGCTGTCACAGGGCTGGGAATCCGGGAGCGCCGCGGAGTGTCCGCGCGCAGGGGCGGGTTGGAGAGGTGCCCCCACCCACAGCGGGCGGCCGCAGGAGCCGGGCTGCACCGGGGAGGGCGGGAGGGGGAGGGGGTGGCGGCCCGGGGACCCGCCACAACACCATCCAGGCCTTCACGCAGCCATTCCGTAGCCACCACCCTCGCGGATCCCTCGGACCCGGTTTGACATCGAGAAACAGAGGCGCTCCCCCAACCCCTCTCCAGGACGGAGGAGTTCTAGTTTCGTCGAATCACGATCCCACGTATATCTAAAAGAGGAGGTTCGGGTACTGAGGTACCCCAAAGTGGAAGCTCCTAAAGCCGGCCCCATCCTGCCGCTTCACCCGCGACACAGGGGCTTCGTGGTGCCTTGACAAGTTCACTCTGGCTCTGGGCAGAAAGAACGCAGCCTCTAGGCAGTTTGGCAGAGGTCCCAGAAGAGGGAGGGATTACAACCCGTCCTTGCCATCCCTAACCCTGCCCCACCGTATCTGCACCTGTCCTTCCCACCTCGCCCCCCCCCCCCCCCCCCCCCCCGCCTTGCATTTGCTAACATTCCTGACTGTATTATATACCTTCCAGGCTTTCACATCCAGGTTGGAATTATTTTTTGTTGACCTTTAGGCAAAGGTAGAAACCAATTGGAAGAGGCGAAATCACCCTAACCTTCCACCCGGCCCCCCATTTTCAGTCTCATGCTTTTAAAAAAATAATTCAGTCATAATTAATTCAACCCAAGGCTGCATTACTTCCGTTCCTGGGCGTAGGATAGAAACATGACCGCAGAGCCAAAAGTGCCCCTTCTCTTTTCACTGCAGCAGACCGGAAGTCATCCACTGGCTTCTTGCCAACATCCTAGAACAGCCAGAGTGGGCACTGCACTCTGAGAGTCAGCTCTCAGAGAGACGCTTTCTGGAAGGGCCCCTGAGTCTGTAGCAGGTGGAAGGGTTTTCTTCTCCTAAGCAGTCCCACCTCTGGCACCTGGGGCAATGTTTGGGGATCTGGACCCAGCAGGAAGGACACCCAAGAATGTCCTTCTCTGCTGTCCCTTCTTCATCCGTTTGCTAAGTAGGTGCTTTCTGCTTTCTGCATACTGTGTACGGCGGTCCTTGCTTACACACTCAGACTTGATAGCACACTCGTAGGGCGGGGAAAGCAACAGGCAACGAAGTTAAAAATACGTACAGGCGTACTTACAGGCGTAAGTGTCAACCCCAGAAATGGGCTTTTCACGGGTCACAAAGATGGGGGTACTGTGGTCGGAGAAGGCTTCCCACTTCCTGAAATGCAGGGAGGAAGTGTGGATGTTGGGCAAGATGAATGGAGGGTTGCACCTGGCATGAAAGCCTGGGGTCAACGAGACGCAGGTGCCGATGCCAAGGAGCAGGGTTTTTGCATTTGGTCTTGGCAAAAGCTGGATATTGGATGGTTTTGAGAAAACTCACATGATGAGGACGGTCCTTTAACAGAAAACAGGGACTAGCCTTTGAAATAGTTTCACAATAATGTGCTCCCCATTTTACTGGACAAAATTGTAACAAGAACACAGAATATCAAAAATGTACAAGCACTCATATTGCCCTAGTCAGATGCCTGGCTCACTGTTGTTCTCTTGCCTTTGCTCCCAGCCACATACATTTTTAAAGCCTAACGTCAATTTTTTCTTTGTAGATTTCCCATAACACTTTCCATGTTTCTATATATTCTCCTCATAGTTGCGCTTTTTATATTGTACCATTTATTACTTGAGAGGCTTTGAGCAACTTAGACTCTGTTTCCTCATTTCAAAAATGAGACGAATTCCATCTGTGGAGAGAGGATCACAGAACCGTCTAGTTACAGAGGGCTGAGGAAGTGCTCAGTACGTGGTGACTATTGCAACCATCTCACTTTGAGTTTAAACCTTCCATTCAGCTCTCTTGTGGTCTTTCGATGTAGATCCTGTTTGCACAATTGCAATCCCTCGAACATTTGTAACAAGAAAACTTTTGCACGCATTTTATTTCACTTGATCTTACCCACACCCCTTTTAGGCCTCACTCCCATTTGCAGGTGGAGAACAGAGAGGTCTGTGGACTTGCCTTGTGCCTCACAGCTGGGACTCCGCTCTTCCGACTCCTCCCCACCCCCCACCCCATGTGTCCACGAAGCCAAGCTGCCCTCTATACGCTGGACTGGTGTCCAGTCTGATTGTTTTCCTTTAACCCTCTTCTAGAAATTACTTTATATCAAAAGTCTGTTTGTTATGTTAGAAAGCTATATTGTCTCTGGGGCACCTGGGTGGCTCAGTCGGTTAAGGGTTCGACTCCTGATTTCGGCTCAGGTCATGATGTCAGGGTTGTGAGATGGAGCCCGACGCCATGCTGGGTGTGGAGCCTGCTTAAGATTCTCTCTCTCCCTCTGCCCCTCCCCCACCCTTGAGAGCGCTCTCGGGCTCTCTCTGTCTAAGAAAAAAAGAAAGAAAACTCTATTGTCTCAATTACAAGTCAGCTTGGGCTTTTGGGCTTCTCCCCCCTCATCTCAGATTCCTCTCGGCCTGCTCGCTGCACTCCAGCCACCCTGGCCTCAGGTTTCTTGAACGGGTCCCTGGGATGCTCTTCCCTCAGGCGAGGCTCATTCTCTGACTCCATTCTGGTCTCTGCTCCAGTGTCACCATCTCTGGCCTCCCCTGATCATCGATCGACCATCTATTCCTCTCTCTAAAGGTGTTCTCTCTGCTTAAAACCAAAGTGAGAAAGTAACTCTGAAATACATGGGAGGAATGTAAAGCATGAACAACACACAGAAACACGCTTTCGGATGAAGAAAATAAACAAAAGGAAGACGAAATGAGGAACGAAGAATTGATGAATCAAAATATCACTTCCAACAGGAAAGAGACTTGTCATTAAAAAAAAAAGAGATTCTAGGGCCGCCTGGGTGGCTCAGTCAGTTAAGCGTCTGCCTTCGGCTCAGGTCATGATCCCCGGGTCCTGGGATCAAGCCCCGCATCAGGCTCCCTGCTCAGCAGGGAGCCTGCTTCTCCCTCTCTCTCTGCCTGCCGCTCTGCCTACTTGTGCTCGCTCTCTATCTCTCTGTCAAATAAATAAATAAAATCTTAAAAAAAAAAGGAGATTCTAAATATCCTAGTTTTACCTTTTGAATAAAGTTATAAAAAGTAAACCAAATGTCTTCAGATTTTGCAATGTTAATAGCAGAAGGTTTTTCTGGTAATGAATAAATCTAATTTATCAGAAAGCTAAATTAATTAATAAGGTGTTCTCTATCCCACTATTCTGCTTTATTTGTCTTCACAACACTTCACCATGTGACATCATGTCGTTTAATTTCATTCCTTTTTGTTACCTGCGTTCCCCACTAACATCTAAGCTCCTCCTAGGCAGAGAATCTTCTCACTGCTGTCTCTTAACATCGAGTTCTGTGTACGCAGAAGGTGCCTGAGTAAATTTGAATGGATGTGTTGAAGGAACAAAAGAGGCATTGTTGGGAGAGGTGATCCATGCGCCCTGAGCACTCCTGCACGTTCCTGTAGGGCATGTCATGGATACAGGGCCCTGGACTGCTCACCACGAAGGCCATTTGGCAGAGTTGTGTTTGCAGCAGGCAGCCTTAACGGATGGGGTGACCTCTCCCCCCAGGCACAGGGCAAGCTTGCTTCTGCTCACCATAGAAGGTGGAGGATCCCCCAAGCCCAGCACTGCACTCCTGTAACACAGTAGTCCATGCCCCACCCCGTCCAGGTCCAGGTGTCCATCACAGGCCCGTCTGTAACCCCCATGGGACTTGGGAGATGTGGGGACCCGGCACAAATACACATGGAGCTCCAGCTCCAGCTCTAGCCCAGAGCACTAATGTCCTTTGTCTCTGACCTGTTGTCTCATGTCTTCTGACAACATCTGGAACACTTAGCAAGTAGCTTGTTGCTTGTGGGCACCAAGGACCATCAAAGCCCTGGCCCCGCACAGTACTGTACAGGTGTTCCATTTGCTGAGTTTCAAATTACAATGAGCAGTAGTCTTTTGCCCCTTTGGGACTTTTCTTTGATGCATTTTTCTCCCAAATTTAATAACTGAGCCGAAACAAAGGAATAGTATGATTGTTCTTTTTACATATTTCCAAGTTGTACCTCAGAGAGATTTAATGGATTTATTGTTCTCTTGGCCCAGACTTTGGAGAAACAAGAGAGAAAGATTGACAACCTTGCCAAAATCATTTTTTTTTATCATTAGAAGAAAAATGTTTAATTGGTGTATTATGATATATTTTGTTTTCATTTGCATTTCTTCAATGGCTGAAAATCCTGCGTTTTTCCACATGGTGACTTATTTTCTATCTATGTAGAGCTGTTCATCCCATTTTAACTAAATACAGGAATCTGGGTACTGAACTTATGACTATCGATCAACTGCAATGTAATTAGGGAGCAGATTTTCATCAGTGTTGTCACATGCCTTTTCCCCTGTCATTCCTCTCTTTGCATTTATTCTATTACATTTTGTTGAATAAGCTTTTCTTTTATATAGTAAGGTACATTGATCCTGTCTCCATCAATGTCCTTAATGTACTCTGTGATCAGAAATTGCTTTCCTGCTCTCTACTTTTGCTATTGAAATTTCTGAGCAGACTTAGAAATGTTACTCTTCGATTCCTCTGGA